ACTCTTGTGGCGGACCCGTTGCAGGTCGCTTGCAAACTGGGTTCCCACTTTTCTTCTGTTAGCTCTGGTCTTCATCTTCCCCATTCTTTCCTTCTTCGTAAACCTGTCCTTGAGTCTCGTCCTTTAGATTTCTGCACTCATCTTCAGCTTCCCTATAATGATCCCTTCTCTCTCTCTGAACTTCGTTCTGCCCTGGCCCTCTGCGGTTCTACGGCGGCGGGCTCCGATGGTATTCATTATGAGATGCTTCGCCATCTCCCTCCGAGTACGTCTCAGTATTTACTGAGTCTGTATAATCGGATCTGGGAGTCGTCGTCAGTCCCTGAGGACTGGCTCGATGCCGTTGTCCTCCCTGTTCGCAAACCGGGGTCTCTGGGTACTTCCCCTAAGGACTTTCGCCCTATTGCTCTCACAAGTTGTGTCTGCAAACTCTTTGAACGTATGGTTAACGTTCGTCTGATGTGGTTCCTGGAACACCATCACCTCCTCTCCCCTTCTCAATTTGGTTTCCGCAAGTGCCGCAGCACGACAGATGTCCTGGTGAACTTGGAGGTCTATATTCGTACTGCTTTTGCTGCGAAGACCTCCGTTGTTGCCGTTCTTTTTGACCTGGAAAAGGCTTACGACACCACTTGGCGTTATCATATCCTATCTCAACTTCATTCTTTTGGCCTTCATGGTCATCTCCCTCTCTTTCTCCGCGGCTTCCTCTCTCGTCGTTCCTTTCGGGTGCGCCTTGGTACCGCTCTCTCTCCCTCTTTTCAGCAATACGAAGGTGTGCCCCAGGGTAGTGTTCTGAGCACTACTCTTTTTCTGGTTGCCCTCAATGGTCTTCTTTCCTCTCTTCCTTCTGGTGTCTTCTCCGCTCTCTATGTCGATGATCTTACCCTTTGTTGTCAGGGTGATGATTCGCCTCTCCTTCAACGCCGGCTTCAACTTGCAATTGATGCCGTGTCGTCTTGGGCCACTGATCATGGCTTCAAGTTCTCTACTTCTAAGACTTGTGCCATGACTTTTACGCGGAAACGGGTTGTTCTTCGTCCCTCTTTGTCACTTTATGGTCATCCCCTTGAATACAAAGATTCCGCGAAGCTTTTGGGGTTATTCCTTGACACTCGTTTGTCTTGGTCTCCCCATATCTCTTACCTCCGTGTTGAGTGCTCTAAGGCCCTTACCCTCCTTCGGGTCTTGTCCCATACTTCTTGGGGGGCAGATAGGCGCACTCTCCTTGCTTTACATTCCTCTCTCGTCCTGTCTAAGCTCGATTATGGTTGCCCTGCTTACTCGTCTGCTTCTCCTTCTACTCTTCGCCGTCTTGATGCTTTGCACCATACTGGGTTGCGCCTCAGTTCTGGTGCCTTTCGCTCGACTCCCGTCCTTAGCTTGTATGTTGACACTGGCTTCCTGTCTCTCCAGGACCGCCGTGATCGCTACTGTCTTCGCTATCTTGCGCGGTCCTTGCAACATCCTTCCTCACGCCTCTGTCGTGCTTTAACTTTTACCCCTCCTGCGGTTCCTGTTCCTCTTCACCACCTCCCTCTTTCTGTCCGGTTATCTCGCCTGCGGGATTCTCTTTCCGTTCGTATTTCTGATGTTTCTCCTCGTGTTGTTCCTTCTTTGCCCCCGTGGAGGGTCCCTCTTCCGCGGTTTTGTACATCCTTGACCCGTATCACTAAAGCATTTACCCCTCCTACGGTTCTAAAACGCCTTTTCCTCGAGCACTTTTCTTCTCACTCCCGCTCCGTTTCTGTCTTCACCGATGGGTCTAAGTCAGCGGACGGTGTTGGCTACTCTGTTGTTTTTCCTGATCGCACTTATATGTGTCGCTTGCCTCCGGAGACTAGCATCTTTACAGCGGAACTTTATGCTATTCTCTATGCTCTTCGTCTCCTGCTTTCTCGTTGTCAGTCTTCCTTTGTAGTTGTTGTTGACTCTCGTAGTGCCCTCATGGCTCTCGGGTCCTTTAATCCGGTTCATCCAGTGGTTGTCGAGATCCAGCATTGGCTGTTTCTCGTTCACAGTAAATTTAAGTCGGTTGAGTTTTGTTGGGTTCCCAGCCATATTGGTGTGTCTTTAAATGAGCGTGCGGAATGTGCCGCCAAGGAAGCTGTCCGCTCTTGTCCCATCTCTCATAGAGGCATTCCGTATTCCGACTTTTACCCGGTTATCCATTCCTCAGTCCTTACCCGTTGGCAGGCTTCTTGGTTGTCTGTTACTGGTAACAAGCTACGTACTCTTAAATGTTGTGTTTCATTGTGGCCGTCCTCCTTCCACCGTAACCGGAGGTGGGAAACAGCTCTGGCGAGGTTGCGTATTGGCTATACTCGCTTAACTCATGGTCACTTGATGGAGCGCCGCCCTGCCCCTTATTGTCCTAGTTGCATTGTCCCTCTTACGGTCGTGCATGTCCTTCTTGAATGTCCTGACTTCCAGGACGAGCGTGTGTCTTGCTTTCCGACCTCCCCTCGCGGTCACCTGTCCCTCGATAGAATTCTTGGTGACTCGGATACTTTTGATATCGCTCGCCTTATGCGTTTTTGTTCTCGTATTGGCATCCTTGGTGATATTTAGCGCCCTCTGATTATTTTGCGTATTTGATGGTGCTACATAGCCTTCCCGGTTTGGTGCCTTCTTTTGAACTTACTTACTTACTTACTTGTGGCACTCTGCTAATATCATGGGTCCCAGCATTCACCCTTGTGGCACTCTGCTAATATCATGGGTCCCAACACTCAACTTTGTGCACTCTGCTAATATCATGGGTTCCAGCACTCACCCTTGTGGCACTCTGCTAATATCATGGGTTCCCAGCACTCACCCTTGTGGCACCCTGCTAATATCATGGGTCCCAGCACTCACCCTTGTGGCACTCTGCTAATATCATGGGTCCCAACACTCACCCTTGTGCACTCTGCTAATATCATGGGTTCCCAGCACTCACCCTTGTGGCACTCTGCTAATATCATGGGTCCCAGCACTCACCCTTGTGGCACTCTGCTAATATCATGGGTCCCAACACTTACCCTTGTGCACTCTGCTAAAATCATGGGTTCCAGCACTCACCCTTGTGGCACTCTGCTAATATCATGGGTTCCCAGCACTCACCCTTGTGGCACCCTGCTAATATCATGGGTTCCAACACTCACCCTTGTGGCACTCTGCTAATATCATGGGTTCCAGCACTCACCCTTGTGGCACTCTGCTAATATCATGGGTCCCAACACTCACCCTTGTGCACTCTACTAATATCATGGGTCCCAACACTCACCCTTGTGGCACTCTGCTAATATCATGGGTTCCAACACTCACCCTTGTGGCACTCTGCTAATATCATGAGTCCCAGCACTCACCCTTGTGCACTCTGCTAATATCATGGGTTCCAACACTCACCCTTGTGGCACTCTGCTAATATCATGGGTCCCAGCACTCACCCTTGTGCACTCTGCTAATATCATGGGTCCCAGCACTCACCCTTGTGCACTCTGCTAATATCATGGGTCCCAGCACTCACCCTTGTGCACTCTGCTAATATCATGGGTTCCAACACTCACCCTTGTGGGACTCTGCTAATATCATGGGTTCCAACACTCACCCTTGTGGGACTCTGCTAATATCATGGGTCCCAGCACTCACCCTTGTGGGACTCTGCTAATATCATGGGTTCCAGCACTCACCCTTGTGGGACTCTGCTAATATCATGGGTTCCAGCACTCACCCTTGTGGGACTCTGCTAATATCATGGGCTCCAGCACTCACCCTTGTGGGACTCAGCTAATATCATGGGTTCCAGCACTCACCCTTGTGGGACTCTGCTAATATCATGGGTTCCAGTACTCACCCTTGTGGGACTCTGCTAATATCATGGGTTCCGGCACTCACCCTTGTGGCACTCTGCTAATATCATGGGTCCCAACACTCACCCTTGTGGGACTCTGCTAATATTCTTCCCTCGTTCCGGTGTTCCTGTCTTACTGTTTTTTTTTTTGAGACATATACAAGAGTTGTTACATTCTTGTACAGCCACTAGTACGCGTAGCGTTTCGGGCAAGTCCTTAATCCTATGGTCCCTGGAATACGATCCCCTGCCGCGAAGAATCGTTTTTTCATCCAAGTACACATTTTACTGTTGCGTTAAACAGAGGCTACAGTTAAGGAATTGCGCCTAGTAAATCCTCCCCGGCCAGGATACGAACCCATGACATAGCGCTCGCGGAACGCCAGGTGAGTGTCTTACCACTACACCACGGAGACTGTTATTGTGTTTCCTATTTGTTAGGAAGTATCCCAACGAGTTCATGACTCTTCTAGTTACTTCGGTGCTTACCTAGTAGTGCATATCTAGTGTGTGTGTACGGAGAGCGTAGACCTAGCTCTAGAGCCCCGCCTCATAGCCATTGAACCGTTATATCTTTGCTGGAGTCTCCCGAAGAGACTAGCGTATGCCGTCGAGGAGTCACAATGCCGTAGAATTACACGGCTTGATAATTGTCCAGGGCGGACCGAAACGTCGTCGTTTCTCCCTTTTGTGATGCGTGGTTTGGTCATCACCAGCTTATGCTGTTTGAGGTTGACGGCCGTCAGCTGGAGACTCGTGGGGTTGATGTTAGGTCTGGAGCAAGGAGGGTACACTAACACTCCCTGAGTCAGGCATGTGGCCACACTTTGCTTGGACTGATAACATTCCATGTTCTGCAGGTCACCACAAGCCTCACCTTTCCTTAGAGATCTCTAACAGACTTTGTAGGAGTGATATTAGCCATTATACTTCTTATCCTCTACCCATGGATTAACCATGGACTAGCATCCTACTTTTATCTCAGTTCAAACTTCACGACAACTCACATCCAAGCTAAATTATGTTTTTTCGAACTGAAAAATAGACATGAAAATGCGTGGAAATAGAAGATACTACGATATCTTCCAGATTTCAGTCTTGGAGAAAAGATGCCCAATATATTATAAATTACTCTTCAAACACAGTGTGTTTCTCACTCACTCACCTGCCAGGTCACTAAGAAGCTGTTGTTGGTCACCTCAGAGACGTTGATCCAGGATGGTGCTTCTAGAGCTGAAACAGTGAGAGTTAAGGCAACACTAAGATAATATTGGTAGGGGATGTCAGACTCCACCATGATAATATTGGTAGTGGATGTCACACACCACCATGATAATATTGGTAGTGGATGTCAGACACCACCATGATAATATTGGTAGTGGATGTCACACACCACCATGATAATATTGGTAGTGGATGTTAGACGCTATCATCATAATATTGTGACCCGTCTACTAATATCTACCTGTACTGTACTCTGTGATCATCTTCTAGTACCTATCTGTACTAGTAGATGGATGATCCATCTACCAATATCTATCAGTACCATCAACGTAGCAACTAAACAACCAGGAAGACGTCATGAACTCCGGTACTTACTGTCGGGACAGGAAGTGTTGAAACTGACAGTGTGTACTCTCTCCCGTCCCGCACCGTCTGCCACACACACCTGTCCCCGGTCGCTCCTAGACACCTGCAACAACACCTGCATGCTGTATCCGGTCGCCGGTTGCAGGCCGCTCACAGTGTTAGGTTGGCTAGGTGTTGCGGTCTGCGAGAATGTACTCCCTGCCCCATGGTCCGTAATCTGTGAAATTAATTTAGAATTCAAAGCCATGGTGAAGGTGAGGAGCTAGGAGGCTCCCACTGAGGCAGCTCTGACACGCCAGTAACGAGGGTGAAGGTGAGGAGCTAACAATTATAATTATTTACTAACGGAGAGCGGGGAGACTGTACGGCGGAGAGTGGCGGCTGTGGCGGACAGTGGCGGCGGTGGCGGATAGTGGCGGCGGGCGGACAGTGGCGGCGGGCGGACAGTGGCGGCGGCGGGCGGACAGTGGCGGATAGTGGCGGCGGGCGGACAATGGCGGCGGGCGGACAGTGGCGGCGGCGGGCGGACAGTGGCGGCGGGCGGAAAGTGGCGGCGGTGGCGGATAGTGGCCGCGGGCAGACAGTGGCGGCAGGCGGACAGTGGCGGCGGTGGCGGATAGTGGCCGCGGGCAGACAGTGGCGGCAGGCGGACAGTGGCGGCGGTGGCGGATAGTGGCGGCGGGCGGACAGTGGCGGCGGGCAGACAGTGGCGGCGGGCGAACAGTGGCGGCGGTGGCGGATAGTGGCGGCGGGCGGACAGTGGCGGCGGTGGCGGATAGTGGCGGCGGGCGGACAGTGGCGGCGGGCGGACAGTGGCAGCGGGCGGACAGTGGCGGCGGTGGCGGATAGTGGCGGCGGGCGGACAGTGGCGGCGGTGGCGGATAGTGGCGGCGGGCGGATAGTGGCGGCGGGCGGACAGTGGCGGCGATGGCGGATAGTGGCGGCTGTGGCGGATAGTGGCGGCTGTGGCGGATAGTGGCGGCGGGCGGACCGTGGCGGCTGTGGCGGCGGTGGTGGACAGGGGAGGCGGGCGGACAGTGGCGGCGGCGGGCGGACAGTGGCGGCGGCGGGCGGACAGTGGCGGCGGCGGGCGGACAGTGGCGGCGGCGGGCGGACAGTGGCGGCGGCGGGCGGACAGTGGTGGCGGCGGGCGGACAGTGGTGGCGGCAGGCGGACAGTGGTGGCGGCGGGCGGACAGTGGTGGCGGCGGGCGGACAGTGGTGGCGGCGGGCGGACAGTGGTAGCGGTGGGCGGACATTGGTGGCGGTGGCGGACAGTGGTGGCGGTGGCGGACAGTGGAGGCGGTGGCGAACAGTGGCGGCGGTGGCGGACAGTGGTGGCGGTGGCGGACAGTGGCGGCGGTGGCGGCTGTGGCGGATAGTGGCGGCGGGCGGACCGTGGCGGCTGTGGCGGCGGTGGTGGCCAGTGGCGGCGGGCGGACAGTGGCGGCGGCGGGCGGACAGTGGCGGCGGCGGCGGACAGTGGTGGCGGCGGGCGGACAGTGGTGGCGGCGGGCGGACAGTGGTGGCGGCGGCGGACAGTGGTGGCGGCGGGCGGACAGTGGTGGCGGCGGGCGGACAGTGGTGGCGGCAGGCGGACAGTGGTGGCGGCTGGCGGACAGTGGTGGCGGTGGGCGGACAGTGGTGGCAGTGGCGGACAGTGGTGGCGGTGGCGGACAGTGGTGGCGGTGACGGACAGTGGCGGACAGTGGCGGCGGTGGCGGACAGTGGCGGCGGTGGCAGACTGGCGGCGGTGGCGGACAGTGGCGGCGGTGGCGGACACTGGCGGCTGTGTCTGGCGGTGGTGGCGGGCGGGGGCGGGCGGCGGCGGCTGTGATGAGTGGTGGCGGCTGTGGTGGGTGCTGGTGGTGGTGGGTGGTGGCGGCTGGCGGTGGTGGGTGGTGGCGGCTGTGGTGGGTGGTGGTGGTGGTGGCGGCGGCGGTGATGGGTGGTGGCGGCGGTGGTTGTGGGTGGTGGTGGCGGCGGCGGCTGGTGGTGGTGGGTGGTGGTGGCGGGTGGCGGTGGTGGGTGGCGGTGGCGGGTGGCGGCTGGTGGTGGCGGCTGGTGGTGGCGGTGGGTGGTGGCGGCGGGTGGTGGGTGGTGGTGGTGGGTGGCGGTGGCTGGTGGCGGGTGGCGGCTGGTGGTGGGTGGTGGCAGGTGCCGGCTGGTGGTGGGTGGTGGCGGGTGGCGGCTGGTGGTGGGTGGCGGGTGGCGGCGGGTGGCGGCTGGTGGCGGGTGGCGGCGGGTGGCGGCTGGTGGCGGCCAGCTGGGACACACCCTTCACCACTGAAGGTCTGAGCACAACTAACCATATGTCTCTCTCACCACCAGAACAGTGTTGCCAGCTTGCGTTCTCAAAATGTTTCCTTCAAAGATTGTATATTATCTTTGAACAACAAGTTTGATTATCAAGGAAATAATGCATATATTATTGTCACATTAATACTGTGCAATATCTTATTACATTCCAGCTAAATAATTATAATTTGAAACAGGACAAAAAATCCAACATATATATAAAACATTAGAGATCACGAGGCCTTTTTACTAGGCCTATCTGTGACCACACATCCTGCTTTGCTGGCCTGCTACCCTCTCACACCTCACACTCTTAACTCTCTCATAATCACTCTCACTCTCAATCACTCTTACGCACTATTATTCACTCTTACTCTCAATCACTCTTACACACTATTACTCACTCTTACTCTCAATCACTCTTACGCACTATTACTCACTCTTACTCTCAGTCATCCTTACTCACTCTCATACTCACTCTTACTCTGTCACTCTTACTCTGTCACTCTTACTCTCTGTCACTCTTACTCTCTGTCACTCTTACTCTCTGTCACTCTTACTCTCTGTCACTCTTACTCTCTGTTACTCTTACTCTCTGTCACTCTTACTCTCTGTCACTCTTACTCTCTGTCACTCTTACTCTCTGTCACTCCTACTCTGTCATTCTTACTCACTCTCAGTCACCCTTACCCATTCATACTCACTCTCTCACTCTTACTCTCATACTCTTACTCTCAATTACTCTTACTCTCAATCACTCTTACTCCCAATCACTCCTACTCCCAATCACTCCTACTCTCGATCACTCCTACTCTCATTCTTACTCTTACTCTTACTCCCAATCACTCTTACTCTCAATCACTCTTATTCTCATTCTTACTCTTACTCTCACTCTTACTCTTACTCCCAATCACTCTTACTCCCAATCACTCTTACTCTCAATCACTCTCACTCCCAATCACTCTTACTCTCAATCACTCTCAATCACTCTTACTCTCAATCACTCTTACTCTCACTAACTCTCAATCACTCTTACTCTCACTCTAACTCTCAATCACTCTTACTCTCAATCTTACTCTTACTTACTCTTACTCTCAATCACTCTTATTCTCATTCTTACTCCTACTCTCACTCTTACTCCTACACCCAATCAATCTTACTCCCAATCACTCTTACTCTCAATCACTCTTACTCTCAATCACTCTTACTCTCACTAACTCTCAATCACTCTTACTCTCACTCTAACTCTCAATCACTCTTACTCTCATACTCACCCTTACTCTCAATCACTTTTACTCTCACTCTTACTCATTCTGTCACCCTTACTCACTCTGTCACTCTTACTCACTCTCAGTCACTCTTACTTATACTCACTCTTACTCACACTTACATACTCTCTGGCACTCTCACTCACCTTCAGTCACTCTTACTCACTCTTACCCACTCTCGCTCACTCTTACTCACTCTAGTTAATAAGAACACGCCAATATAAGACAACAAAACGTTTTCAGATTCTTTGACACCACTTTCCAGCAACTTTTATAATTTATATAAATTATCTTAGGGAATAATACATAAATTATATATTTAAACATGATATTAGTGTTTAGTGGAATGCATAAGGAGTCAAATTGTGTTAAAAAGAGCGATTTTTATAAAATTTGGAAAACTACTTTTTTTCTGATCATATTGTAACAAAATGGATTTTGAACGTTTCACTCAGCCAATATATATCATTCACAATTTATTAATGAATTTTACAAAAAAAAAAAACACCATAAATTTTATATTTAAACATGTAAAAACTATTTGTAATACATTAGGAACAAAAAAGTTGAGAAAAACAATTTATTATAAAACCTTTGTGTTTGGATTTTTTGATTAAAAGTTTCTCAAAGGCTCTCCTGCACCATTCTCAATGCAAATCATTCCCACGCCTATGGGAAGAGATAGACAAACGTTTTCTAGATGATTTGTGTTTGCTGGGTAGAGGCTCCCACTGAGGCAGCTCTGACACACCAGTAACCATGGTGAAGGTGAGGAGCTAGAGGCTCCCACTGAGGCAGCTCTGACACACCAGTAACCATGGTGAAGGTGAGGAGCTAGAGGCTCCCACTGAGGCAGCTCTGACACACCAGTAACCATGGTGAAGGTGAGGAGCTGGAGGCTCCCACTGAGGCAGCTCTGACACACCAGTAACCATGGTGAAGGTGAGGAGCTAGAGGCTCCCACTGAGGCAGCTCTGACACACCAGTAACCATGGTGAAGATGAGGAGCTGGAGGCTCCCACTGAGGCAGCTCTGACACACCAGTAACCACGGTGAAGGTGAGGAGCTAGAGGCTCCCACTGAGGCAGCTCTGACACACCAGTAACCATGGTGAAGGTGAGGAGCTGGAGGCTCCCACTGAGGCAGCTCTGACACACCAGTAACCATGGTGAAGGTGAGGAGCTGGAGGCTCCCACTGAGGCAGCTCTGACACACCAGTAACCATGGTGAAGGTGAGGAGCTGGAGGCTCCCACTGAGGCAGCTCTGACACACCAGTAACCATGGTGAAGGTGAGGAGCTAGAGGCCCCCACTGAGGCAGCTCTGACACACCAGTAACCATGGTGAAGGTGAGGAGCTAGAGGCTCCCACTGAGGCAGCTCTGACACACCAGTAACCATGGTGAAGGTGAGGAGCTAGAGGCTCCCACTGAGGCAGCTCTGACACACCAGTAACCATGGTGAAGGTGAGGAGCTGGAGGCTCCCACTGAGGCAGCTCTGACACACCAGTAACCATGGTGAAGGTGAGGAGCTAGAGGCTCCCACTGAGGCAGCTCTGACACACCAGTAACAATGGTGAAGGTGAGGAGCTGGAGGCTCCCACTGAGGCAGCTCTGACACACCAGTAACCATGGTGAAGGTGAGGAGCTAGAGGCCACCACTGAGGCAGCTCTGACACACTAGTAACCATGGTGAAGGTGAGGAGCTGGAGGCTCCCACTGAGGCAGCTCTGACACACCAGTAACCATGGTGAAGGTGAGGAGCTAGAGGCTCCCACTGAGGCAGCTCTGACACACCAGTAACCATGGTGAAGCTAGAGGCCCCCACTGAGGAGCTAGAGGCCCCCACTGAGGCAGCTCTGACACACCAGTAACCATGGTGAACGTGAGGAGCTAGAGGCTCCCCACTGAGGCAGCACTGACAGAGGCACCATGGTGAAGGTGAGGAGCTAGTCCCACTGAACCATAACCATGGTGAAGGTGAGGAGCTAGAGGCTCTCACTGAGGCAGCTCTGACACACCAGTAACCATGGTGAAAATGAGGAGCTGGAGGCTCCCACTGAGGCAGCTCTGACACACCAGTAACCATGGTGAAGGTGAGGAGCTAGAGGCTCCCACTGAGGCAGCTCTGACACACCAGTAACCATGGTGAAGGTGAGGAGCTAGAGGCTCCCACTGAGGCAGCTCTGACACACCAGTAACCATGATGAAGGTGAGGAGCTAGAGGCCCCCACTGAGGCAGCTCTGACACACCAGTAACCATGGTGAAGGTGAGGAGCTAGAGGCCACCACTGAGGCAGCTCTGACACACCAGTAACCATGGTGAAGGTGAGGAGCTAGAGGCTCCCACTGAGGCAGCTCTGACACACCAGTAACCATGGTGAAGGTGAGGAGCTAGAGGCCCCCACTGAGGCAGCACTGACACACCAGTAACCATGGTGAAGGTGAGGAGCTAGAGGCCACCACTGAGGCAGCTCTGACACACCAGTAACCATGGTGAAGGTGAGGAGCTAGAGGCTCCCACTGAGGCAGCACTGACACACCAGTAACCATGGTGAAGGTGAGGAGCTAGAGGCTCTCACTGAGGCAGCTCTGACACACCAGTAACCATGGTGAAGGTGAGGAGCTAGAGGCCCCCCACTGAGGCAGCTCTGACACACCAGTAACCATAGTGAAGGTGAGGAGCTAGAGGCTCTCACTGAGGCAGCTCTGACACCAGTAGTCATGGTGAGGGTGAGGTGCTAGAGGTGTGACACTTGGTACCACACCTGGTGTCTGACACCTTGTGCCACACCTGGTGTCAGACACCTGGTGCAACACCTGTAGGTGTCAGACACCTAGTGCCACACCTGGTGTCAGACACCTAGTGCCACACCTGGTGTCAGACACCTAGTGCCACACCTGGTGTCAGACACTTAGTGCCACACCTGGTGTCAGACACCTAGTGCCACACCTGGTGTCAGACATCTAGTGCCACACCTGGTGTCAGTCACCTAGTGCCACACCTGGTGTCAGACACCTAGTGCCACTCCTGGTGTCTGACACCTAGTGTCACTCCTGGTGTCAGACAACTAGTGCCACACCTGGTGTCAGACACCTAGTGCCACACCTGGTGTCAGACACCTAGTGCCACTCCTGGTGTCAGACAACTAGTGCCACACCTGGTGTCAGACACCTAGTGCCACACCTGGTGTCAGACACTTAGTGCCACACCTGGTGTCAGACACCTAGTGCCACACCTGGTGTCAGACATCTAGTGCCACACCTGGTGTCAGTCACCTAGTGCCACACCTGGTGTCAGACACCTAGTGCCACTCCTGGTGTCTGACACCTAGTGCCACTCCTGGTGTCAGACAACTAGTGCCACACCTGGTGTCAGACACCTAGTGCCACACCTGGTGTCAGACACCTAGTGCCACTCCTGGTGTCAGACACCTAGTGCCACACCTGGTGTCAGACACCTAGTGCCACTCCTGGTGTCAGACAACTAGTGCCACACCTGGTGTCAGACACCTAGTGCCTCTCCTGGTGTCTGACACCAGTAATATTGTCCATCAACACAGGTGATCTTGGACCCATCACGTCGAGAGGTGCCTGAAGAGATCATCATCAGCACGACCTTTACTGAAGCCATATTGTCGCCCACAAGAGGTAATATAGTGCATCCATAGTGCTGTGATCTTGGTGTAGAACCTTCCATAGTGAGGGTCTTGTGCTGTGATCTTGGTGTAGAACCTTCCATAGTGAGAGCCTTGTGCTGTGATCTTGGTGTAGAACCTTCCATAGTGAGGGTCTTGTGCTGTGATCTTGGTGTAGAACCTTCCATAGTGAGAGCCTTGTGCTGTGATCTTGGTGTAGAACCTTCCATAGTGAGGGTCTTGTGCTGTGATCTTGGTGTAGAACCTTCCATAGTGAGGACCTTGTGCTGTGATCTTGGTGTAGAACCTTCCATAGTGAGGGTCTTGTGCAGTGATCTTGGTGTAGAACCTTCCATAGTGAGGGCCTTATGCTGTGATCTTGGTGTAGAACCTTCCATAGTGAGGACCTTGTACTGTGATCTTGGTGTAGAACCTTCCATAGTGAGAGCCTTGTGGTGTGATCTTGGTGTAGAACCTTCCATTGTGAGGGCCTTGTGGTGTGATCTTGGTGTAGAACCTTCCATAGTGAGGACCTTGTGCTGTGATCTTGGTGTAGAACCTTCCATAGTGAGGACCTTGTGCTGTGATCTTGGTGTAGAACCTTCCATAGTGAGGGTCTTTTGCAGTGATCTTGGTGTAGAACCTTCCATAGTGAGGGCCTTATGCTGTGATCTTGGTGTAGAACCTTCCATAGTGAGGACCTTGTACTGTGATCTTGGTGTAGAACCTTCCATAGTGAGGGTCTTGTGCTGTGATCTTGGTGTAGAACCTTCCATAGTGAGGGCCTTATGCTGTGATCTTGGTGTAGAACCTTCCATAGTGAGGACCTTGTGCTGTGATCTTGGTGTAGAACCTTCCATAGTGAGGACCTTGTGCTGTGATCTTGGTGTAGAACCTTCCATAGTGAGGACCTTGTGCTGTGATCTTGGTGTAGAACCTTCCATAGTGAGGACCTTGTGCTGTGATCTTGGCGAAGAAGTGAGTGGCAGGTGTTTACAGCTGACGGGAACACGTGAATGACAGTCTCGAGCTGACCTTATCCGGCCCTCACTGTCTTCTCTATATTGAATGATACAAGAAAGTGGTGGACTTCATGTTGTTTTACTGTATGACCATATATACTGTATAGTATACCATATACTGTATGACCATCGCTGCCACATATCTGGACAACAGAACAGTCTGCCAGGATGTGAGCCTCTGTCTGATTATTGATTGTTAAGGTTCATGCCGTGGGTTTAGGTGCAGGATTGTATCTTAGGAATATTCCAGTCATTACCCAGGGTCCAATAGACCTTGGTACCCATTCTTCCTGCTGATAATTATCGTATCTCTCTCTCTCTCTCTCTCTCTCTCTCTCTCTCTCTCTCTCTCTCTCTCTCTCTCTCTCTCTCTCTCTCTCTCTCTCTCTCTCTCTCTCTCTCTCTCTCTCTCTCTCTCTCTCTCTCTCTCTCTCTCTCGTACACACAGCCATCAGTTAATAATCTTATAATCACTATATTCTTCGTCAAAGTATAAAAGCCCTAGACTACAATATTCAGTAACCAAACCAGACCAAGCCTACATACCCACAACTGCAGTCTATAAGAGATAACATCGCCCGCGTCCTTGTGTCCGTCGTCATAACCCTGGACCCAGCCATCAAAGGTGACCCTCGCCGTGGTCCACGACACGTTGATCACTTGTGGCGGCCGACGGAGTCGTGGTAGCCCAAGATCACCTGTTGACCACACCACACCTGTCTTACTACACATTTGTCTCACTATATACACCTATCTCACTACACATCTGCTGTGACCACTACAGCTGTCTCACTACACATTTGTTGTGACCACTACAACTGTCTCACTACAGACCTGATGTGACCACTACAACTGTCTCACTACACAGCTGTTGTGACCACTACAGCTGTTTCACTACACATCTGTTGTGACCACTACAGCTGTCTCCCTACACATATGTTGTGACCACTACAACTGTCTCACTACACAGCTGTTGTGACCACTACAGCTGTGTAATGCGCAACACATGCACACGCATGCATGCACACGCATGCATGCACACACATGCACACGCATGCATACACACACATGCACACGCACGCATATGCGTGCGTTTTACAAGAAAGAGAGGGGAAGATGAACCAGTCATGCTTGATCTGATATTTACCCTAAATGAGTGACATTTAAGGTAAGTCATGTTGGAAGCATCCTTGGGAATGAGTGATCACAGTGTATTGATCTTTGAGTACCTGGTAGAGCTAGGATTTATCCCCTCCATCCTCCCCCCCGAAAAGAACTAGGAAACAAAAGGCTGGCATACCGCAAGGAAAATTATGAGATGAGAAGTTTCCTAAGGAATATACCGTGGGACACAGACCTCAGAGTTATGTCTGTTCAAGACATGATGGACTATGTCTCCCAAAAGTGTCAGGAGGCAGTAAACGGGTTCATCCCGGCACAAAAAGAAAAATCCGAGAAGCAAAAGGAGAATCCATGGTTTAACCGGGCATGTTTATGGAAGCAAAGGGACTGAACAAAAGGGCATAGAGGAACTTCCAAAATAACAGAACACCAAAAACCAGAGACAAATACCAGACAACGAGGAATGAGTATTTAGTGTGAGAAGAGAAGCAGAGAAAAATTATGAAAATGATATAGCAAGCAAAGCCAGGACTGAACTAAAGCTACTCCACAGTCACATCACAAGGAAAACAACAGTGAAAGAACAGATAATGAAACTTAGAACAGTCGAGGACAGGTATACATAGAAAGACAAAGAGGTGTGTTGAGAACTCAACGAGAGGTTCCAGTAGGTCTTCACAATAGAACAAGGTGAGGTCAGTACCTAAGCAATAGGAAGCAGAGAGTTACAGTGAGGGGTGAGACCTCAGATTGGTGTGAAGTCGCCAGTTGAGTCCCACAGGGCTCTGTACTTGGTCCTATCCTGTTTCTGACATACGTAAATGATCTCCCGGAGGGTATAGACTCATTCCTCTCAATGTTTGCTAACGATGCCAAAATTATAAGAAAGATTAAAACAGAGGACTGCTTGAGGCTTCAAGAAGACCTAAACAAACTGAAGGAATGGTCGAACAAGTGGTTGTTAGAGTTTAACCTAAGTAAAGAAGGTAGGTGTAGGGAGCAGGAAACCAGATACAAGGTATCATCTGGGAGATGAAATTTTTCAAGAGTCAGAGAAAGAGGGAGAGAAAGACTTCGGGGTTGATATCACGCCAGACCTGTCCCCTGAAGCCCATATCAAGAGGATAACATCAGCGGCATATGCCAGGTTGGCCAACATACGAACGGCATTTAGAAACTTCTGTAAGCAATCAATCAGAACTTTGTATACCACATATGTCAGACCAAACCTGGAGTATGCAGCTCCAGCATGGAGTCCATATAGAGTCAAGCATAAGACTAATCTGGAGAAGTTTCAAAGGTTTGCCACCAGACTAGTACCCGAGCTGAGAGGTATAAGCTACGAGAAAAGACTACGGGAGTTAAACCTCACGTCGCTGGAAGACAGAAGAATTAGGGGGGACATGATCACCACATACAAGATTCTCAAAGGAATTGATAGGGTAGATAAGAACATGCTATTTAACCTAAGGGGCACATGCACTAGGGGACACAGGTGAAAACTGAGTGCCCAAATGAGCCACAGAGATATTAGAAAGAACTTCTTTAGTGTCAGAGTAGTTGACAAATGGAATGCATTAGGAAGTGATGTGGTGGAGGCAGACTCCATACACAGTTCCAAGTGTAGATATGATAGAGCCCAGTAGGCTCAGGAACCTGTACACCAGTTGATTGACAGTTGAGAGGCGGGGACCAAATAGACAGAGTTCAATCCTCCGCAAACACAAATAGGTGAATACAAATAGGTGAATACACATGCACACGTGCAAAGGCAGCAATCTTAGGGAAAGAGCACAAGAAGGGAACCCAGGTGTAACTGGACTCACAGAAACAAAACTCTCAGGAATCATAACGGATGCGGTGTCCCCAGGACTACACTGTAATAAGGAGAGAGAGGGAAGGAAGTGATGGAGGCAGAGTGGCCTACTGATAAGAAGGGACTGGAGTTTTGAGGAGATGGTCATCTCAGGCTGTGAGGGGTTCAGAGACTACATTACAGGTACCATGACGATAGAAGGTGCAAGAGTAGTAGCACCAGTGATATATAACCCTCCACTAAACGACAGAAGACCCAGGCAAGAGTATGACAGAAACAACATGGTAGTCAAGGCTATAACTAAGAGAGTGGCCACTGCTAACTGTAGAAATAGATCCCATCTTCTCATCATGAGGGACTTCAATCACGGAAGGATAGACTGGGAAAACAAGGAACCACGTGGAGGTGAATAAACATAGAGAGCTAAAGCGCTGGAAGTGGCGAAAGGAAACTTTTTAAGTCAGCATATCAGGGGATACACAAGAATGAGAGGCAATGATGACTCAACCTAGTCTTCACTCTAAATGACTCCGACATAAGGGAAATCGATTTCAAAGCCCCTGTGAGAATGAGTGATCACAGTGTACTGATGTTTGAGTATTTGGTCGAAGAAGGGTTAATGTACTCAAGAAAGGGCCCAGAAAACAAAAGGCTGGTATTCCGAAAGGGAAACTAAGAGGAGTTAAGAAAATTCCTAACATTTATAACTTGGGAAACAGAGCTCGGAGGAAAGACGGCCCAAGGCATGATGAACGTCATCACACAGAAGTGTAAGGAGGCAACAAACAAGTTCGTCCAAGCCCAAAAGGAAAAAAATGAAGTGCAGATGAGAAACCCATGGATGTAAGCTAGCAAAGCAACTACGTGCATGGGCATGGAGAAACTATAGAAATAATAGGACACTAGAGAGCGGAGAAAGGTACCAGAGTGCCAGGAATGAATACGTCTTGGTGAGAAGAGAGGCAGAAAGGCAATATGAAAATGACATAGCAAGCAAAGCAAAGATTCAACCTAAATTACTGCACAACCACAACAGGAGGGAAACAACAGTGAAAGAATGGTAATGAAACTGAGGATGGGGCAGACAGATTCACTATAAACGACAAGAAAGTGTGTGAGAAACTCAATAACTAATTCCAGGAGGTCTTCACATTTGAGAAAGGATAAGTTCCAGAGATAAGAGAGGGAATAGATACCAGGCACCTCTAGAGAACATGGGGATTGCCAGTGAGGAGATGAGGAAGCTTTCGCTAGAGTTGGATGTGACAAAGGCTATAGGTCCGGATGGAATTTTACCATGGATAATAAAGGAAGGACAGAAGCACTGTGTCTGCCACTGTCCATAGTGCATAATAAATCACTGGTAACAGGAGAGCTTCCAAAAATTTCTAAGACTGCTAATGTAGTCCTAATATACAAAAAGGGAGATATAGGCAGGAGGCACTAAACAACAGGCCAGTGTCCCTAACTTGCATACCATGTAAGTAGATGGAAAGGATTGTGCGAAAATAACAAGTGGAACATCTGGAGCGTAAAAAGCTAGTGGAACATATGGAGCAAAAGAACTTTGTAACACAACATAATCATGGGTTCAGGGATGGCAAATCATGCCTCACATGATTAATTGAATTCTACGATTAAGTAACAAAAATATGACAAGAGAGGGGTGGGCAGAATGCATATTTTTGGATTTCAAGAAAGCCTTTAACACACTACCACACAAGTGACTAGTACACAAGCTGGAGATACAGGGAGGAGTGAGAGGGAAGGTACTCCACTGGATAAGGGAGTACCACTGTGTCTCGCTGTCTTCTCGCAACAGAAGACAGCGAGACACTGCGAGGGGCAAGGTCTCAGATTTTCGAAGTGTCACCATTGGAGTCCCACAGAGTTCAGTCCTTGGACCTATTCTGATATATGTGAATGTTCTCCCAAAGGGAATAGACTCGCTCCTCTCAACGTTTGCTGATGATGCAAAAATTATGAGGAGGATTAAGTAAGAAGATGATAGTATGAGGCTACAAGATGATCTAGACAAACTGAATGAATGGTCCATCAAATGACTACTACAGATCAACCCGAGCAAATGTAAGGTAATGATATTAGGCAAAGGAAACAGGGCGCCAGAAACAGGATACCGAATGGGAGATGAAGTCCTCCATGAAACGGAAATAGAGAAAGATCTAGGACTTGATATCACACCAAACCTGTCTCCTGAAGCCTACATAAAAAGAATAACATCTGCAGCATATGCGAGGCTGGCTAACATCAGAACTGCCTTCAGGAACCTGTGTAAGGAATCATTCAGAACCTTGTATACCACATATGTAAGACCAGTCCTGGAGTATGCGGCCCCAGCATGGAGCCCGTACCTTGTCAAGCACAGGAATAAGCTGGAAAAAGTTCAAAGGTATGCCGCTAGGATAGTCCCAGAACAAAATGGCATGAGTTACGAGGAAAGACTGCATGAAATTTAAGTAACGTCGCTGGAAGATAGCAAATCTCGTGGAGACATGATCACTACCTACAAAATTCTCATAAAAATTGACATGGTGAATAGGGATAAACAGTTTAACTCTTTTAGTATGCGAACAAGGGGACACAGGGGAAAACTGAGTACCCAAATGAGCCACAGGGATGTTAGAAAGAACTTTTTCATTGTCAGAGTAGTTAACAAGTGGAATGCATTAGTCAGTGATGTGGTGGAGGCAAACTCTATACACACAGTTTCAAGTGTAGATATGATAGAGCCCAGAAGGCTCAGGAATCTGTACATCAGTTGACTTACTGTTGAGAGGCGGGACCACAGAGCCAGAGCTCAACCCCCGCAAGCACAACTTGGTGAGTACACACACTACACAGTCACTAGCAAACACATAAGAGTGACACTGACCTCCGGCACAGTCAGCTGGTCCCGGTGAGTGACAGTGACCGTTGTTGGGGTGACAGTCACCTTGACAGTGGTGGCGGCAAGACTGGGAACACTCCACACCCCAGCGGCCTCCTCCACACTCTTCCTCACAGGTAAACATGTTAATACATCAACAATGTTTATATAACAGCTGCTGCTACTGCTACTGTTACTTTTATTGGTTTACTGCTACTCTTATTGGTTTACTGCTACTCTTATTGGTTTACTGCTACTCTTATTGGTTTACTGCTACTCTTATTGGTTTACTGCTACTCTTATTGGTTTACTGCTACTCTTATTGGTTTACTGCTACTCTTATTGGTTTACTGCTTCTCTTATTGGTTTACTGCTACTATTATTGGTTTACTGCTACACTTATTGGTTTACTGCTACTCTTATTGGTTTACTGCTACTCTTATTGGTTTACTGTTACTCTTATTGGTTTACTGTTACTTTTATTGGTTTACTGATACTCTTATTGGTTTACTGCTACACTTATTGGTTTACTGCTACTCTTATTGGTTTACTGCTACTCTTATTGGTTTACTGTTACTTTTATTGGTTTACTGATACTCTTATTGGTTTACTGCTACTCTTATTGGTTTACTGCTACTCTTATTGGTTTACTGTTACTGTTACTGGTTTACTGTTACTCTTATTGGTTTACTGCTGCTCTTATTGGTTTACTGCTGCTATTACTGGTTTACTGCTACTCTTATTGGTTTACTGCTACTCTTATTGGTTTACTGTTACTGTTACTGGTTTACTGTTACTCTTATTGGTTTACTGCTGCTCTTATTGGTTTACTGCTGCTATTACTGGTTTACTGCTACACTTATTGGTTTACTGCTGCTCTTATTGGTTTACTGCTGCTCTTATTGGTTTACTGCTGCTATTACTGGTTTACTGCTACACTTATTGGTTTACTGCTGCTCTTATTGGTTTACTGCTGCTCTTATTGGTTTACTGCTACTCTTATTGGTTTACTGCTACTCTTATTGGTTTACTGCTGCTCTTATTGGTTTACTGCTGCTCTTATTGGTTTACTGCTACTCTTATTGGTTTACTGCTGCTCTTATTGGTTTACTGCTACTCTTATTGGTTTACTGCTGCTCTTATTGGTTTACTGCTGCTCTTATTGGTTTACTGCTACTCTTATTGGTTTACTGCTGCTCTTATTGGTTTACTGCTGCTATTACTGGTTTACTGCTACTCTTATTGGTTTACTGCTACTCTTATTGGTTTACTGTTACTTTTATTGGTTTACTGCTGCTCTTATTGGTTTACTGTTACTTTTATTGGCTTACTGCTGCTCTTATTGGTTTACTGTTACTTTTATTGGTTTACTGCTACTCTTATTGGTTTACTGCTACTCTTATTGGTTTACTGCTACTCTTATTGGTTTACTGCTACTCTTATTGGTTTACTGCTACTCTTATTGGTTTACTGTTACTTTTATTGGTTTACTGTTACTTTTATTGGTTTACTGCTACTCTTATTGGTTTACTGCTACTCTTATTGGTTTACTGCTACTCTTATTGGTTTACTGCTACTCTTATTGGTTTACTGCTACTCTTATTGGTTTACTGCTACTCTTATTGGTTTACTGCTACTCTTATTGGTTTACTGCTGCTCTTATTGGTTTACTGCTACTCTTATTGGTTTACTGCTACTCTTATTGGTTTACTGCTGCTCTTATTGGTTTACTGCTACTAACTGAACTATATGTCTAATACTATATCAGTAACATTTAACATTTAACATGTACACATTTAACAATCAGACAACTTACTGATTATATCAGTCTTCTAAGTCTATAGCGTCTCAAGATCTTGGTGTCTTCTGTTATAAGCAGGCACATTACTGATCCAGCAAGTTGTTAATATATGAGACAGACGCTTATTAATATTACGATAAGACTTGGAATATTGAGCAAACTTCCTCAAGTTATTGACATTAAACTTCCAAGCTTCAGACTGTCCACTTGACATAACACACGTGGCTAGTTGAATTGTTTCAAGCGTAGGCTATACATATATTTGAATACGAACAGTCAAGTAGGCCAATAGGCCTACTGCAGATTCATTTATGGTTGTGTTCCTCTTCTGGAGCAGAACATTGTGATGAGTCAGTGTTGATGAGGAAGACCTCACCAACCCGGAAGTGTCTACACCTTGCAGCCACTTTGTTCATGTTAAACAGACCAACACACCAGTCTAACCAATCAGCTGACCTATATCACGTTATGCCCTTCACTTGAGCCTTGTAGGGAACAGCGTACAGTTTAGACGGATAGGTTTGGTTATGCGTAATATTTTGTACGATTGACTCTCTTGAGTACAAATATGGGTAATCAGTACTACCATAGCTCTCACAGCTATTACTTACACTGCTGGTACTACCATAGCTCTCACAGCTATTACTTACACTGCTGGTACTACCATAGCTCTCACAGCTATTACTTACACTGCTAGTACTACCATAGCTCTCACGGCTATTACTTACACTGCTAGTACTGCCATAGCTCACACGGCTATTACTTACACTGCTAGTACTACCATAGCTCTCACAGCTATTACTTACACTGCTAGTACTGCCATAGCTCACACGGCTATTACTTACACTGCTAGTACTGCCATAGCTCACACGGCTATTACTTACACTGCTAGTACTACCATAGCTCTCACAGCTATTACTTACACTGCTAGTACTACCATAGCTCTCACGGCTATTACTTACACTGCTAGTACTACCATAGCTCTCACAGCTATTACTTACACTGCTAGTACTACCATAGCTCTCACAGCTATTACTTACTGTAATGTTAATTGAAATTATTTGAGAGAGAGTGTTGCCTTACCTGTGGTGCATGTGTCACCGGTGTAGCCCGGGGCGCAGTGACACCCCAGCGGGTGTGGGAGACACACCTGCTTACCCCGGGGCTCAGGCAGCTCCACGGTACAGTCCCGACCCATCCTGGTGTTGTTGCACCCTGGGGGAGGAGAGGTACACTGGGGCGTGTGTGTGGTACAGGCGTACATATGAGGGTACACCATACAGTACAGACCAAGAGATACATACGAAGGTATAAACCATAATACATACGGGGCACATACTAACAGTAAATATGATGTACATATAAGGTATACTTTGTATGTATGTGAGGTATAAGAGAGAATGTGTGCGAGGTGGGAGGAGAGAGGCCTCCAGCTGGCCTCATTATTAAATTAATCTTTACAGCAGGAGTGGGAATTTTATCGTGAGTGTGACTCCTCTTCTCCTTATCTTGAAATGATTTCGGGGCTTTTTAGTGTCCCCGCGGCCCGGTCCTCGACCAGGACTCCACCCCCAGGAAGCAGCCCGTGACAGCTGACTAACACCCATGTACCTATTTTACTGCTAAGTAACAGGGGCATAGGGTGAAAAAAACTCTGCCCATTGTTTCTCGCCGGCGCCTGGGATCGAACTCAGGACCACAGGATCACAAGGGGGTTAGGGGTTACAGATGGAAGGGGCTGTACATAACATAGAGAAGGTTTTCAGGTTGGGCTGGTACAACAAGGACAGAAACCGACTTGTAAAGGTGGTGTTTACAAACGAAACCACGAAGGAGGACATTCTCGAAAGGAAGAGTCGTCTGCAGCATATGGAGGGATACAAAAAAGTATTCCTGCAGAGGGACAGGACGAAGGAGGAGAGAACCAGGGCAGCAGAGGCAAGGAGAGAGCGCAGGGAGAGAGGAGCAAGCCAGAAAATCACAGCCCTCAACACAACAGTCCCAGAGACAAGAGGAGAACCCAAAACCAGCATCCCAGCAACACCAGAGGGGGGGGGCACACCACCACCCCCTCTGCATAGAAACCCTCCCTTCCCCTCACCCTACCTGCCCCGAACCAACCCTCCCTCCCACCCCACCCCATTCTGACCCTGACACCCCTTCCCCATTCCCATCATGTCCCCCCTCCCACCTTTTTCCCCGTCCCCCCTCCCCCTTCATCCCAGACCCTCCCTATCCCTCCTCCCCCCTCAATGCGTATCCTCCATGTCCCCCCTACCTCCTTAACCCACACCCTACCTGTCCCCCCTTTCCTTCAACCCCCACCCCCACCCCAAAATCCTCTGAGACCTCACCACCTCACAGATCCTCTCACCCACGAAACAGCTTCCCACACCAGCAGAATGCTTGCTAAGAAAGGGACATGAAAATGAACAGAAGAAAGTGAGCTTCAAGGCGATGTACACTAACATAGATGGAATTTCAAATAAAACAAGTGAACTTGGAGAATGGGCACTAGAAGAAAACCCAGACATAATAACACTCACAGAAACAAAGTTAACGAAAATCATAACAAACGCAGTGTTTCCACAGGGCTACTATGTAGTGAGGAAAGAGAGAGAAGGGAGAGGAGGAGGTGGTGTAGCTCTGCTACTAAGAGAAGGTTGGAGTTTCGAAGAGATGGTAATTCAGAACTGTGAAGGTTTCAGTGACTACATTTCAGGCACCATAGCAACTGGAAGACAGAAAATTATAATAGTAGTCATATATAACCCCCCACCGAATGACAGAAGACCCAGACAGGAATATGATAAAAACAACTTGGCCACCATCAATATAATAGAGAGAGCAGCTTCTGTGGCTAGCAGGAACGGATCCAGACTTCTAATCATGGGAGACTTCAACCATGGGAAGATAGATTGGGGGAACAGAGACCCACATGGAGGCCCAGACACATGGAGAGCTAAGCTGCTGGATGTGGCAACAAGAAACTTTCTAAGTCAACACGTCAAGGGACCGACAAGAATGAGAGGAGGGGATGAACCAGCCTTGCTTGATCTGATATTTACCCTAAATGAGTCGGATATAAGGGAAGTTAAGTTGGAAGCCCCCTTGGGAATGAGTGATCATAGTGTATTGAGCTTTGAGTACCTGGTTGAGCTGGGAATTATCACCCCCCAAAAAAGAACTGGGAACCAAAGGGCTGGCGTACCGAAAGGGAAACTATGAGGAAATGAATAAATTCCTATGGGATATACATTGGGACACAGAACTCGGAACCAAGTCCGTACAAGACATGATGGACTATGTCACCCAAAAATGTCAGGAGGCTGTAAGCAGGTTTGTCCCAGCCCGACAGTAAAAAACAGAGAAGCAAAGGAAGAATCCGTGGTTTAATAAGGAATGTATGAAAGCAAAGGAGCAGAACAAATGGGCATGGAGGAACTTCCGTAATAACAGAACACCAGAAAGTAGAGAGAGATACCAGAGAACCAGGAACGAGTATGTCAGTGTGAGAAGAGCAGCTGAGAAAAGGTATGAAAATGATATAGCTAATAAAGCCAAGACCGAACCCAAGCTACTACACAGTCACATCAGGAGGAAGACAACAGTGAAGGAACAGGTGATGAAACTTAGGGTGGGCGAGGACAGGTACACAGAGAATGACAAACAGGTGTGTGAAGAACTCAACAAAAGGTTCCAGGAGGTCTTTACAATAGAACAGGGAGATGTCGCGGCGCTAGAAGAGATGGCAGCAAACCAGGTGACCTTGGAAAGGTTCGAAATTACAAGAGATGAGGTCAAGAAGCACCTATTGGAGCTGGATGTGAGAAAAGCTGTTGGGCCGGATGGAATCTCGCCATGGGTATTGAAAGAGTGTGCAGGAGCACTTTGCCTACCACTCTCCATAGTGTATAGTAGGTCACTGGAAATGGGAGACCTACCAGAAATATGGAAGACTGCTAATGTAGTACCAATATACAAAAAAGGGTGACAGACAAGAGGCACTGAACTACAGGCCAGTGTCCTTAACTTGTATACCATGCAAGGTGATGGAGAAGATTGTGAGAAAAAACCTAGTAACACATCTGGAGAGAAGAGACTTCGTGACAACCCATCAACATGGGTTCAGGGAGGGTAAATCTTGCCTTACAGGATTGATAGAATTCTAAGATCAGGTGACAAAGATTAAACAAGAAAGAGAAGGGTGGGCGGACTGCATTTTTTTGGAATGTCGAAAAGCCTTTGACACAGTACCCCATAAAAGGTTGATGCATAAGCTAGAGAAACAGGCAGGAGTAACTGGTAGGGCGCTCCAGTGGATAAGGGAGTACCTAAACAATAGGAAGCAGAGAGTTACAGTGAGGGGTGAGACCTCAGACTAGCGTGAAGTCACCAGTGGAGTCCCACAAGGCTCTGTACTTGGACCTATCCTGTTTCTGATATACGTAAATGATCTCCCAGAGGGTATAGACTCATTCCTCTCATTGTTTGCTGACGACGCCAAAATTATGAGAAGGCTTAAGACAGAGGAGGACAGCTTGAGGCTTCAAGAAGACCTGGACAAGCGGCAGGAATGGTCGAACAAATGGCTGTTAGAGTTTAATCCAAGCAAATGTAATGTAATGAAGATTGGGGTAGGAAGCAGGAGACCAGATACAAGGTATCACTTGGGAGATGAAATACTTCAAGAGTCCGAGAGAGAGAAAGACCTGGTGGTTGATATCACGCCAGACCTGTCCCCTGAAGCTCATATCAAGAGGATAACAGCAGGAGCATATGCCAGGTTGGCTAACATAAGAACGGCCTTTAGAAACTTGTGTAAGGAATCTTTCAGAACATTATATACCACATATGTCAGACCAATCCTGGAGTATGCGGCACCAGCATAGAGTCCATATCTAGTCAAGCATAAGACTAAAATGGAAAAGGTTCAAAGGTTTGCCACCAGACTAGTACCCGAGCCGAGAGGTATGAGCTACGAGGAGAGACTACGGGAATTAAACCTCACTTCGTTGGAAGACAGAAGAGTTAGGGGGGACATGATCACCACATTCAAGATCCTCAAGGGAATTGACAGGGTTGATAAAGACAGGCTGTTTAACACAAGGGGCACACGCACTAGGGGACACAGGTGGAAACTGAGTGCCCAAATGAGCCACAGAGATATTAGAAAGAACTTTTTTAGTGTCAGAGTGGTTGACAAATGGAATGCATTAGGAAGTGATGTGGTGGAGGCTGACTCCATACACAGTTTCAAGTGTAGATATGATAGAGCACAATAGGAGGGGACACACACTCACACACGTTGTCACGGGTCAGACAACGGTCCCCAGACAGGTAAGGGGGACACACACTCACGGGTCTGACAACGGGTCCCCAGACAGGTAAGGGGGACACACACACTCACGGGTCTGACAACGGGCACCAGACAGGTAAGGGGGACACACTCACGGGTCTGACAACGGGCCCCAGACAGGTAAGGGGACACACACTCACGGGTCTGACAACGGCCCCCAGAAAGGTAAGGGGACATACTCACGGGTCTGACAACGGTCCCCAGACAGGTAAGGGGACACAACTCACGGGTCTGACAACGGCCCCCCAGAAAGGTAAGGGGGACACACTCACGGGTCTGACAACGGTCCCCAGACAGGTAAGGGGGACACACTCACGGGTCTGACAACGGTCCCCAGACAGGTAAGGGGGACACACACTCACGGGTCTGACAACGGTCCCCAGACAGGTAAGGGGGACACACACACTCGCCAGTCAGGGGGTGACAGGCGCCGCCGGACATACAGTCAGGACACCACTCACTGCAGCCTTCACCATAGCGACCAGCGGGACACTCTGTAACAGTTAATGTGACGTTACTAAAGTGTGGTCTATGTTGGGTGTTACAAGTCATGTGTCAGGTCAATGTTGGGTGTTACAAGTTATGTGTCAAGTCTATGTTGGGTGTTACAAGTCATGTGTCAGGTCTATGTTGGGTGTTACAAGTCATGTGTCAGGTCTATGTTGGGTGTTACAAGTCATGTCTGAGGTCTATGTTGGGTGTTACAAGTCATGTGTCAGGTCTATGTTGGGTGTTACAAGTCATGTGTCAGCTCTATGTTGGGTGTTACAAGTCATGTGTCAGGTCTATGTTGGGTGTTACAAGTCATGTGTCAGGTCTATGTTGGGTGTTACAAGTCATGTGTCAGGTCTATGTTGGGTGTTACAAGTCATGTGTCAGGTCTATGTTGGGTGTTACAAGTTATGTGTCAGGTCTATGTTGGGTGTTACAAGTCATGTGTCAGGTCTATGTGGGGTGTTACAAGTCATGTCTCAGGTCTATGTTGGGTGTTACAAGTCATGTGTCAGGTCTATGTTGGGTGTTACAAGTCATGTGTCAGGTCTATGTTGGGTGTTACAAGTCATGTGTCAGGTCTATGTTGGGTGTTACAAGTTATGTGTCAGGTCTATGTTGGGTGTTACAAGTCATGTCTCAGGTCTATGTTGGGTGTTACAAGTCATGTGTCAGGTCTATGTTGGGTGTTACAAGTCATGTCTCAGGTCTATGTTGGGTGTTACAAGTCATGTGTCAGGTCTATGTTAGGTGTTACAAGTCATGTCTCAGGTCTATGTTGGGTGTTACAAGTCATGAGGAATAATGTAAACATAACAATACCAAAAGTTACAACAATTATGTTCACCGATAATTAACTTCCAACTTCTAAACCCCGCAGGTGAATATTATGAAAGACTATCAATTACCAGACGAGGTGTTGTGGCCGCTGCTCACCTCTCACCAGCAGCCTGAAGGTACCAAACTGCTTCTTGTCACTCCCAGGGTGGAATGCGCTGGTGTAGGGTATAACAGAATAGAAGCCAGACCCGGTGAGCTTGTCTGCTGGGATGATGAGCTGGTCGTCGTCCGTGAGGGTAGATGACTGCCAGTCATTACCAGTGGCGGGTTCCTTCTGCCACTCGACCTGACGAGGTGCTCTGTCCACCAGTGTGAACCTCAGACGGAGGTCCTCACCCTCACTGACCGTCACACTCAGCTGCTCCGGCACGTACAATGCTGAGAACAGTGAGAGATACAGTGAGACACATGGAGAGTGAGAGATACAGTGAAACACACAGGGAGAGAGAGAGAGAGATACAGTGAGATACACAGGGAGAGTGAGAGATACAGTGAGACACACAGGGAGAGTGAGAGATACAGTGAGACACACAGGGAGAGTGAGAGATACAGTGAGACACACAGGGAGAGTGTGAGAGATACAGTGAGACACACAGGGAGAGTGAGAGATACAGAGAGATACACAGGGAGAGTGAGATACAGTGAGACATACGGTATAAGGACAGTGAGAGATACAGTGAGACACACAGGGAGAGTGAGAGATACAGTGAGACACACGGTACAGGAAGAGTGAGAGATACAGTGAGACACACAAGGAGAGTGAGAGATACAGTGAGACACACAGGGAGAGGGAGAGTGAGAGATACAGTGAGACACACAGGGAGAGTGAGAGATACAGTGAGACACACGGGGAGAGTGAGAGATACAGTGAGACACACAGGGAGAATGAGAGATACAGTGAGACACACGGGGAGAGTGAGAGATACAGTGAGACACACAGAGAGAGTGAGAGATATTATGACGCAAACAATCAGAATGAGAAACAGTTAAAGCAGATTCGCAAAAAAATAAATGTTGAACTTTACATAAATATTCTGATAATTGTATACTGACAGGTCACCAGCCCATGAGTCACCAAGTACAGTATACTGACAGGTCACCAGCCATGAGTCACCAAGTACATTATAGTGACAGGTCACCAGCCGTGAGTCACCAAGTACAGTATACTGACAGGTCACCAGCCTTGAGTCACCAAGTACAGTATACTGACAGGTCACCAAGTACAGTATACTGACAGGTCACCAGCCATGAGTCACCAAGGACAGTATACTGACAGGTCACCAGCCATGAGTCACCAAGTACAGTATACTGACAGGTCACCAGCCGTGAGTCACCAAGTACAGTATACTGACAGGTCACCAGCCGTGAGTCACCAAGTACAGTATACTGACAGGTCACCAGCGAGTCATGAGTCACCAAGTACAGTATACTGACAGGTCACCAGCCATGAGTCACCAAGTACAGTATACTGACAGGTCACCAGCCATGAGTCACCAAGTACAGTATACTGACAGGTCACCAGCCATGAGTCACCAAGTACAGTATACTGACAGGTCACCAGCCATGAGTCACCAAGTACAGTATACTGACAGGTCACCAGCCATGAGTCACCAAGTACAGTATACTGACAGGTCACCAGCCATGAGTCACCAAGTACAGTATACTGACAGGTCACCAGCCATGAGTCACCAAGTACAGTATACTGACAGGTCACCAGCCATGAGTCACCAAGTACAGTATACTGACAGGTCACCAGCCATGAGTCACCAAGTACAGTATACTGACAGGTCACCAGCCATGAGTCACCAAGTACAGTATACTGACAGGTCACCAGCCATGAGTCACCAAGTACAGTATACTGACAGGTCACCAGCCATGAGTCACCCAGTATACTGACAGGTCACCAGCCATGAGTCACCCAGTATACTGACAGGTCACCAGCCCCATAATGGCACGAGCTGACCATACTGACCCCGGGCTGACCATACTGGACCCGGGCTGACCATACTGACCCCGGGCTGACCATACTGACCCCGGGCTGACCATACTGACCCCAGGCTGACCATACTGGCCCCAGGCTGACCATACTGGCCCCGGGCTGACCATACTGACCCCAGGCTGACCATACTGGCCCCGGGCTGACCATACTGACCCCAGGCTGACCATACTGACCCCAGGCTGACCATACTGGCCCCGGGCTGACCATACTGACCCCAGGCTGACCATACTGGCCCCAGGCTGACCATACTGGCCCCAGGCTGACCATACTGGCCCCGGGCTGACCATACTGACCCCAGGCTGACCATACTGGCCCCGGGCTGACCTGACCCCAGGCTACTGGTCCCAGGCTGACCATACTGACCCCGGGCTGACCATACTGACCCCGGGCTGACCATACTGACCCCAGGCTGACCATACTGACCCCGGGCTGACCATACTGACCCCGGGTGTTAAGCTGTGAACATTACCTCTGTGCTTCATGAATGGGGCGGAGACGTTGTAATGTGGAGGAGCTCCAGGGGCGCTACACACCACTCCTCGGGCTGTGTTCTCCACACCCGTCGACCACTTGAGCCGTGTACTACCATCCCCGTCACCTGTGGAACACTGGATGTATCATTCTTAACATCATGATAAACTTGTACAATACCTGTCACCCTCAGTGTGACATGAACTCTGGAGTATTAAGAAATTCTTATCATAAATTATGTCCGTGATAATCGTCCAAAAGAGATAACATCGTGTTTTAAGGTGAGAGAGAGATTAAGGCCGGCTAGGAGAGTGACTTACGGAACTTGAGTTAATACTTACGTAGAATGATGGGACTTGTAGAGTAGTGTGGCACAAGGTGACCCTCTATGCGTTGTGACGTGTCGCCGGGGACACAGTAGGCGGGCACATTGCCAGGGAAGACGTTCATGACTGGGTACACCATGGTGATGTCCGGCGCCCTGGTGGTGGTGGACCTGGGAGACCGTCGGGGGGACCTGACAGGTGGTACCGTCACACCTGAGGAGTCGTCGTCAACGTTCCTGTCCAAACATTTGGGTAATAAGGAAGGAACAAAAAGCAAGCAACAAAATGATTAATTAACCCAAAACAACGACTTTTGTTGGCCACAAACCCCAAAACTTTGCTCAAGAAGAAGACATTTTCAACAATAATTATCATACTTTATTGATAACATTAATGAGACAATCAGCTGGAGGACTTAGGTGACTCGAACCCGCGACCCCAGACTGACGGCCACAACCTCTACCTTAGTGGGAGTTCTCTCTGTAGATAACATTAATTATAACAACACGGTCACATGACTCAGATACCTGGGTCAAGACAATACAAATACCTGGGTCAAGACAACACAAATACCTGGGTCAAGACAATACAAATACCTGGGTCAAGACAACACAAATACCTGGGTCAAGACAACACAAATACCTGGGTCAAGACAATACAAATACCTGGGTCAAGACAACACAAATACCTGGGTCAAGACAACACAAATACCTGGGTCAAGACAACACAAATACCTGGGTCAAGACAAGTCACAGTGTTGTCTCTTACCTCTCACTGCTACACTGTTGTCTCTCAACTTTCACTGCTACAGTGTTGTCTCTCACTGCTACACTGTTGTCTTTCAACTTTCATTCCTACATAGTTATCTCTCACCTCTCACTGCTACATAGTTGTATCTCACCTTTCACTGCTTCACTGTTGTCTATCACCTGTCACTGCTACACTATTGTCTCTCATCTCTCACTGCTGCACAGTTGTCTTTCACTTCTTACGGATACACAGTTGTGTCTCACCTCTCACTGCAACACTGTTGTCTTTTACCTCTCACTGCTACACTATTGTCTCTCCCTCATTGCTACACTGAAGTCTCTCACCTCTTGCTGCTTCACTGTTGTTTCTCACCTCTCACTGCTACACATGTCCTCTCATCTCTCACTGCTACATTGAAGTCTCTCACCTCTTGCTGATACACTGTTGTCTTTCACCTCTCACTGCTACACTGTATTCTGTCAACTCTCACTCCCACACTGTAGTCTCTCACCTCTGACTGCTATACGTTTCTCTCTCACCTTTGACTGCTACACTGTTATCTCTCTCATCTTTCACTGCTACACTGTAGTCTCACGTCTGATTGATACACTGTTGTTTTACCTCTCAATGCTACACAGTTGTCTCTCACCTCTCACTGATACTCAGTTGTGTCTCACCTCTCACTGCTAATCAGTTGTCTCTCACCTCTTACTGATACACCGTTATCTCTCATCTCTCACTGCTACACAATTGTCTCTCATTTTACACTGCGACACAGGTGTCTCTCACCTCTCACTGCTACGCAGTTTTCTCTCACCTTTCACTAATATATAGTTCTCTCTCACTTCTAACTGATTCACAGTTATATTTCCTCTGACTGATACACAGTTGTCTCTCTGCTGCACAGTTATCTCTCACCTCTCTCTGAAACATAATTGTCTCTCACCTCTCATTGAAACACAATTGTCTCTCACCTTTCACTGATACACAGTTGTCTCTCACCTCTCTCTGTTACACAGTTGTCTCTCACTTCTCACTGATACACACTTGTGTCTAACCTCTCCCTGCTACACAGTTGTTTCTCACCTCTCACTGCTACACTATTATCTCTCACCTTTTCCTGTTTCACTGTAGTCTCTTACCTCTGATTGCTACACTGTTGTCTCTCACCTCTCACTGCTGTGGTGCTCGGTTTCATGTTCAGTGTACTCACCTAGTTGTACTCACCTAGTTCTGCTTGCGGGGGTTGAGCTCTGGCTCTTTGGTCCCACCTCTCAACCGTCAATCAACAGGTGTACAGGTTCCTGAGCCTTTTGGGCTCTATCATATCTACACTTGAAACTGTGTATGGAGTCAGCCTCCACCACATTACTTCCTAATGCATTCCATTTGTCAACCACTCTGACACTAAAAAAGTTCTTTCTAATATCTCTGTGGCTCATTCGGGCACTCAGTTTCCTCCTGTGTCCCCTAGTGCGTGTGCCCCTTGTGATAAATAGCCTGTCTTTGCCTGTGCCCCTGTCGACAGGGGCACAGGCTTTAAGTAGCCTGTGCCCCTGTCGATTCCCTTGAGATTCTTGAATGTGGTGATCATGTCCCCCCTAACGCTTCTGTCTTCCAACGAAGTGAGGTTTAATTCCCGTAGTCTCTCCTCGTAGCTCATACCTTTCAGCTCGGGTACTAGTCAGGTGGCAAAGCTTTGAACCTTTTCCAGTGTAGTCTTATGCTTGATTAGATATGGACTACATGCTGGAGCCGCATACTCCAGGACTGGTCTGACATATGTGGTATATAATGTTCTGAAAAATTCCTTACACAAGTTCCTAAAGGCCGTTCTTATGTTAGCCAACCTGGCATATGCTGCTGATGTTATCCTCTTGATATGATATGTGTGGTGATCAGTGCGTGGTACAATGAAGTCTCTCACCTCTCACTGATACACTGTTGTATTTCACCTCTCACTGCTACTCTGTAGTCTGTTACCTCTACTGCACTGTTGTCGCTGACCTCTCACCTCTTACTGATACACTGTTGTCTTTCACCTTTCACTCATACACTGTTGTCTCTCATCTCTCGCTGCCACTCACTAGTCTCTTACCTCTCACTGCTACACTGTAGTCTCTCACACCTCACTGCTACACTGTTATCTCTCGCCTCTGACTGCTACTTTGTTCTCTCTCATCTTTGACTGCTCCCTCACTGCGACAATGTAGTCTCAATTCTTACTGCTACACTGAAGTCTCTCAATTCTCACTGCTACACTGTTGTCTCTCACCTCTCACTGCCCCCCACTGTAGTCTGTCACCTCTCACTGCTACACTGTTGTCTCTCACCTCTCGCTACAGGACAGTTGCCTCTCACGTCACACTGCTACACAGTTGCCTCTCATCTCTCACTGCTACATATTTGTCTCCCACCTTTCACTGTTACACTGCTCTCTCTCACCTCTGACTGCTACACTGTTCTCTCTCACCTCTGACTGCTACACTGTTCTCTCTCAGCTTTGAATGCTACATTGTTATATGTCACCTTTCACTGCTACACTGTTATCTCTCACCTCTCACTGCTACACAGTTGTCTCTCCCCTTTCATTTCGACACTGTTGTCTCTCACCTCTCATTGCTACACCGAAGTCTCTCAATTCTCACTGCTACACTGCTGTCTCTTACCTCTCACTGTCCCACTGTAGTCTGTCACCTCTCACTGCTACACTGTTGTCTCTCACCTCTCGCTACAGCACAGTTGCCTCTCATGTTTCACTGCTACACAGTTGCCTCTCATGTCTCACTGCTACATATTTGTCTCCCACCTTTCACTGTTACACTGTTCTCTCTCACCTCTGACTGCTACACTGTTCTCTCTTACCTTTGACTGCTACATTATTATATGTCACCTTTCACTGCTACACTGTTATCTCTCACCTCTCACTGCTACACAGTTGTCTCTCCCCTTTCATTTCGACACAGTTGTCTCTCACCTCTCACTGATACACAGTTGTCTCTCACCTCTCACTGATGCACAGTTGTCTCTCACCTCTAATTGCTTCTGTTACGAACCCGACTCCATCGTTGGAGCATGGAGCAGCGACGTCAACGCCATCTGTGAGTCTGCTCCCTAAACCCCCACAAAATGGACGACGCTATTTGATGGTGGCAGTATGATACCTGCAAGAGACGCTAGATTCCTGCCCTGTTCAGCCCGAAGAGTCGCTGTTGCTGACCTCTAGTGAGGGTGGGCCTAGAAAATCAGCGCCATCTATTGTGGGAGGAGTTGTATGTTAATGTCAGAGTCCGTAAGTGGTATTTCCTAGTGTCCCAAATACTGGCCAGTTTACTGATGACGTGTCTGTATCCATAGAGGTCTACCCAAGGCAGTCTATTATCTCTCTACTCCATTCTGCTTTACGTGAGCAGTGAGCCGCCGCCGAAGAGGAACTGAGTAGTATCTGCTGTCTGCCTGTGAAGTGGCAGTGACAGAACTCGGCGTATCCCGGGACTGGCTAGAGGAAGAGACGACCGACAGTCAGGTGCTACAGAGGAGTGTAACTAGCTAGTTGCAAGAAGCTCCTGCCAGGGGTTCGCTACCCTTGTATTTGTTCGTGTAGAGGTCCAGCAGCGCGAGGCTGATGTTCTCTGCCAGCACCAGGCTGGAGAGTGATTGTTGGTGTTCACAAGGAGCACCTAGTGAGACTGTAGACAGGCTGGCTCATGGCTAGGGTAGACTCGTTGGTGTTTCCCAGTACTGGTTGAGGACGGTACTGTGTGTTGAGGAAACACAGAAGTTGACAAGGCAGCATTGCATGAGCATCGAGGAGCGCTTAGTGTCCTATGAGAGCGACACATGTGTATATATCAGTGTAGTAATACTTCGTTTATGATTCTACTTAAGATGATGGGAAAGTGATAATATGTGAATATATTGATAATTGATGAAGTGTCGTATTACTTTCAACTTTCCCATTGTGTTTTACTTGCATTACCAAGCCCACTCCTTGAAAGCCACTACCGACTTGGGGTCGGATTCTTTATGTACTTTAGTTCCTCCAGCAAAGAACCCGGTTGCGACCCATAGTGACCGTAACAGCTATACAGTTGTCTCTAACCAATACTCAGTTGTCTCTCACCTCTTACTGCTACAGTTATCTCTCACCTCTCACTGCTACACAGTTTTCTCTCACCTTTCACTAATTTATAGTTGTCTCACTTTTGACTGAGTTGTCTCTCCATCTGACTGATACACAGTTGTTTCTCTGCCGCACAGTTGTCTCTCACCTCTCACTGCTACACAGTTGTCTTTCACCTCTCACTGCTACTCAGTTGTCTCTCACCTCTCACTGATACACAGTTATCTCTCACCTCTCACTGATACACAGTTATCTCTCACCTCTCACTGATACACAGTAGTCTCTTACCTCTCACTTCTACACAGTTCTCTCTCCCCTCTCACTGCTACACAGTTGTCTTTCACCTCTCACTGCTACTCAGTTTTCTCTCACCTCTCACTGATACACAGTAGTCTCTCACCTCTCACTGATACACAGTAGTCTCTCACTGATACACTGTTGTCTCACCTCTCACTGATACACAGTAGTCTCTCACTGATACACTGTTGTCCCACCTCTCACTGATACACAGTAGTCTCTCACTGATACACTGTTGTCTCACCTCTCACTGATACACAGTAGTCTCTCACTGATACACTGTTGTCTCACCTCTCACTGGTACACAGTAGTCTCTCACCTCTCACTGATACACAGTAGTCTCTCACTGATACACTGTTGTCTCACCTCTCACTGATACACAGTAGTCTCTCACTGATACACTGTTGTCCCACCTCTCACTGATACACAGTAGTCTCTCACTGATACACTGTTGTCTCACCTCTCACTGATACACAGTAGTCTCTCACTGATACACTGTTGTCTCACCTCTCACTGGTACACAGTAGTCTCTCACCTCTCACTGATACACTGTTGTCTCACCTCTCATAATCTTCTTGAGATTATCTTGAGATGATTTCGGGGCTTTAGTGTCCTGGGGGCCCGGTCCTCGACCAGACCTCCACCCTCAGGAAGCAGCCCGTGACAGCTGACTAACACCCAGGTACCTATTTTACTGCTAGGTAACAGGGGCATAGGGTGAAAGAAACTCTGCCCATTGTTTCTCGCCGGCGCCTGGGATCGAACCCAGGATCACAGGATCACAAGTCCAGCGTGCTGTTCGCTCGGCCGACCGTCTCCCACTAATACAAAGTAGTCTCACACCTCTCACTGATACACAGTTGTCTCTCACCTCTTACTGCTACACAGTTGTCTCTCACCTCTCACTGATACACTGTTGTCTCTCACCTCTCACTGATACACTGTTGTCTATCGTTGCTACACAGTGGCTCTCACTTCTCATTACTACACAGAGTACAGCACATATCGTACATGTACTAAGGCTTTGTAGAGTACACTTAAGCATTATATATAATATAAATGTAGAGTTGTAAGTGATGATGAAGAGTGAACTTACAGGGAGAGGGAGACACCGCTGTAGACGCCAACACTCACTGCAACATGACAACAACAACAGTTAGGTAGATAATATACTGTTCCTGTACTCTCACATATATTGTTCCCATATATAGATAGTCAGTGTTTTATTACAAGGTGAGAATAACAATTATAGAAACATATCTCCAATGTTATAATCACAGATACATTATCATTCATTATACATAGGCAATGTTATATTAGCTTTTTAAGTCCACATAGAGCTCAACAATATCTCAAGTTACCCTATTAATTCACTGAAAATACCCGTATTCACTGAAATTACCCGTATTTACTAAAGTTACAGACATTCACTGAAGTTACCCGTATTCACTGATATTCACTGAAGTTACCCGTATTCACTGAAGTTACCCGTATTCACTGAAGTTACCCGTATTCACTGAAGTTATTCACTGATGTTACCCGTATTCACTGAAGTTACCCGTATTCACTGTTACCCGTATTCACTGAAGTTACCCGTATTCACTGAAGTTACCCGTATTCACTGAAGTTACCCGTATTCACTGAAGTTACCCGTATTCACTGAAGTTACCCGTATTCACTGAAGTTGCCCGTATTCACTGAAGTTACCCGTATTCACTGAAGTTACCCATATTCACTGAAGTTACCCGTATTCACTGAAGTTACCCGTATTCACTGAAGTTGCCCGTATTCACTGAAGTTGCCCGTATTCACTGAAGTTACCCGTATTCACTGAAGTTACCCGTATTCACTGAAGTTACCCGTATTCACTGAAGTTACCCGTATTCACTGAAGTTACCCGTATTCACTGAAGTTACCCGTATTCACTGAAGTTACCCATATTCACTGAAGTTACCCGTATTCACTGAAGTTACCCATATTCACTGAAGTTACCCATATTCACTGAAGTTACCCATATTCACTGAAGTTACCCATATTCACTGAAGTTACCCATATTCACTGAAGTTACCCATATTCACTGAAGTTACCCATATTCACTGAAGTTACCCATATTCACTGAAGTTACCCATATTCACTGAAGTTACCCATATTCACTGAAGTTACCCATATTCACTGAAGTTACCCATATTCACTGAAGTTACCCGTATTCACTGAAGTTACCCGTATTCACTGAAGTTACCCGTATTCACTGAAGTTGCCCGTATTCACTGAAGTTACCTGTATTCACTGAAGTTACCCATATTCACTGAAGTTACCCATATTCACTGAAGTTACCCATATTCACTGAAGTTACCCATATTCACTGAAGTTACCCATATTCACTGAAGTTACCCATATTCACTGAAGTTACCCATATTCACTGAAGTTACCCATATTCACTGAAGTTACCCGTATTCACTGAAGTTACCCATATTCACTGAAGTTACCCATATTCACTGAAGTTACCCATATTCACTGAAGTTACCCGTATTCACTGAAGTTACCCGTATTCACTGAAGTTACCCATATTCACTGAAGTTACCCATATTCACTGAAGTTACCCATATTCACTGAAGTTACCCGTATTCACTGAAGTTACCCATATTCACTGAAGTTACCCGTATTCACTGAAGTTACCCGTATTCACTGAAGTTACCCGTATTCACTGAAGTTACCCATATTCACTGAAGTTACCCGTATTCACTGAAGTTACCCGTATTCACTGAAGTTACCCATATTCACTGGAGTTACCCGTATTCACTGAAGTTACCCATATTCACTGAAGTTACCCGTATTCACTGAAGTTACCTGTATTCACTGAAGTTACCTGTATTCACTGAAGTTACCCATATTCACTGAAGTTACCCATATTCACTGAAGTTACCCATATTCACTGAAGTTACCCGTATTCACTGAAGTTACCTGTATTCACTGAAGTTACCTGTATTCACTGAAGTTACCTGTATTCACTGAAGTTACCCATATTCACTGAAGTTACCCATATTCACTGAAGTTACCCATATTCACTGAAGTTACCCATATTCACTGAAGTTACCCATATTCACTGAAGTTACCCATATTCACTGAAGTTACCTGTATTCACTGAAGTTACCTGTATTCACTGACCCATATACTACAACAGAGCGAGGAAGGTGTGGTCAAGTAAGGAGATAAGGGTGTTTTTAGCAGGTAAAGGGTTTGTGGTAGTGAAGGTCCCATCATTATACAAACTGTAGTGGAGTGTGAACACTGACCTCAGGGTGGAGCATAGTGTTAGTCCACATAACGTCACCACAACTCTGGCCTCGGGGAGGAGCATAATGTTAGTCCACATAACGTCACCACAACTCTGGCCTCGGGGAGGAGCATAATGTTAGTCCACATAACGTCACCACAACACTGGCCTCGGGGAGGAGCATAATGTTAGTCCACATAACGTCACCACAACACCGGCCTCGGGGAGGAGCATAATGTTAGTCCACATAACGTCACCACAACACTGGCCTCGGGGAGGAGCATAATGTTAGTCCACATAACGTCACCACAACACTGACCTCGGGGAGGAGCATAATGTTAGTCCACATAACGTCACCACAACACTGGCCTCGGGAGGAGCACAGTGTTAGTCCACATAACGTCACCACAACACTGGCCTCGGGGAGGAGCATAATGTTAGTCCACATAACGTCACCACAACACTGGCCTCGGGGAGGAGCATAATGTTAGTCCACATAACGTCACCACAACACTGACCTCGGGGAGGAGCACAGTGTTAGTCCACATAACGTCACCACAACACTGGCCTCGGGGAGGAGCACAGTGTTAGTCCACATAACGTCACCACAACACTGACAGTCTTGTGTTGGTCCTCTAGTTTTGGGTTACGTAATTACTGTTGCTTTAAGGCAGGTTCCTATTCTGTCGTTCTCTCTGAATATAAGATTGGCATTGTTGCAGTCGTTTTGGGGGCGTTTTGTGTTCCACTGACGAATGAATGGAGTTTTATATCCTCCAGCTCTATAGGCGTGATGTTCCATGTGTTCCATTGATAGAGGCGTTGTGTTCCATGTGTTCCAGTGATATAGTCATTATGTTCCCCGTGTTCCAATGATAGTGACGTATTGTTCCATGTGTCCCAGTGATAGAAGCCTTATATTCCATGTGTTCCAGCCATACAGGTATGGTGTTCCACGTGTCACAGTGATAGAGGTGTTATACTCCATGTGTTCCAATAATTGAGGCGAAGTGTTCTATGTGTCCCGGGGATAGAGGCGAATTGTTCTATGTGTCCCAGTGATATAAGCGGGATATCCTTCTTGTTCTAGTACTCACATAGTTGTGCTTGCGGGGGTTGAGCTTTGGCTCCTTGGTTCCGCCTCTCACTCTTCAATATACTAGTGTACATATTCCTGAGCTTCTCGAGCTCTATCCTATCAACATTTGAATCTGTGTATGGAGTCAGCCTCCACCACATCTCTTCCAAGTGCATTCAATTTGCTGACTACTCTAACACTGAATAAGTTCTTTCTAATGTTTCTGTGGTTCATTTGGGTACTCAGCTTCCACCTATGTCCTCTTGTGCGTGTACCACCCGTGTTAAATAATCCATCTCTGTCTTCCCTGTGATTTCGCCTGGCTGCAAAAGGCTGCAGTTCACGCAGCCTTTCCTCCAAATTCATGCCTCTTAGTTCTGAGACTAGCCTAGTGGCATACCTCAGAACTTTTTCCAGCTTCGTCTTGCGCTTGACAAGGTACGGGGCTGGGGCTGCATACTCTAGGATTGGGCTAACATACGTGGTATTCAAGATTTTGAAAGATTCCTCACACAGGTTTCTGAAGGCAGTTCTGATGTTTGCCAGTCTCGCATACGCCGCCGATGTTATTCTTTTGATGTGGGCTTCAGGAAACAGGTTTGGCGTGATATCAACTCTTAGATATTTCTCTCTGTCCGTTTTGAGAGAGAAAGATCTAGGAGTTGTTCCAATGGTAGAGGCGTGGTACGCCATGTGTTCCAATGGTACGGCGTTGTGTTCCATGTGTTGCAGTTTTAGAGGCGTGGTGTTACTTAGGTCCCAGTGATAAAGGTTTATAGTTCCATGTGCTCCAATAATAGAGAAGTGTTCCATCTGCCCAATAGAGACGACATGCTCTCCGTGTTCCAGTGATAGAGTTGTAGTGTTCTATGTGTTCCAGTTGTAAAGGCTTGGTATTTATGTGTTCCAGTGATAGAGGCGTTGTGTCATGTGTTCCAGTGATAGAGGCGTGGTATTCCATGTGTTCCAATAATAGAGTTGTGGAATTCCATGTGTTTGAGTGATGTAGGCGTTGTGTTCCATGTGTTCCAGTGATGTTGTCGTGTTGTTCCACGTGTTCTAGTGATGATGGCGTGGTGTTCCATGTGTTCCAGTGATGTTGGCGTGTTGTTCCACGTGTTCTAGTGATGTTGGCGTGGTGTTCCATGTGTTCCAGTTAAGTAGGTAAGGTGTTCCATGTGTTCTAGTGATATAGGCGTGGTGTTCCATGTGTTCTAATGATGTAAGCGTGGTGTTCCACGTGTTCCAGTGATGTAGGTAAGGTGCTCCATGTGTTCTAGTGATGTATGCACGGTATTTCATGTGTTCCAGTGATGTAAGCGTGGTGTTCTTTGTGTTCCAGTTATGTAGGCGTGGTATTCCATGTGTTCTAATGATGTGTGCGTGGTGTTCCATATGTTCTAATGATGTAGGCGTGGTGTTCCATGTGTTCCATTGACGTAGGCGTGGTGTTCCATTGATGTAGACGTGGTGTTCCATTGATGGAGGCGTGGTGTTCCAGTGATGGAGGCGTGGTGTTCCATTTATGTAGGCGTGGTGTTCCAGTGATGTAGGCGTGGTGTTCCAGTGATGTAGGCGTGGTGTTCCAGTGATGTAGGCGTGGTGTTCCAGTGATGTAGGCGTGGTGTTCCAGTGATGTAGGCGTGGTGTTCCAGTGATGGAGGCGTGGTGTTCCAGTGATGTAGGCGTGGTGTTCCAGTGATGTAGGCGTGGTGTTCCAGTGATGTAGGCGTGGTGTTCCAGTGATGTAGGCGTGGTGTTCCAGTGATGGAGGCGTGGTGTTCCAGTGATGTAGGCGTGGTGTTCCAGTGATGTAGGCGTGGTGTTCCAGTGATGGAGGCGTGGTGTTCCAGTGATGTAGGCGTGGTGTTCCAGTGATGGAGGCGTGGTGTTCCAGTGATGTAGGCGTGGTGTTCCAGTGATGTAGGCGTGGTGTTCCAGTGATGTAGGCGTGGTGTTCCAGTGATGGAGGCGTGGTGTTCCAGTGATGGAGGCGTGGTGTTCCAGTGATGGAAGCGTGGTGTTCCAGTGATGGAGGCGTGGTGTTCCAGTGATGGAGGCGTGGTGTTCCAGTGATGGAGGCGTGGTGTTCCAGTGATGAAGGCGTGGTGTTCCATTTATGTAGGCGTGGTGTTTCAGTGATGAAGGCGTGGTGTTCCAGTGATGGAGGCGTGGTGTTCCAGTGATGGAGGCGTGGTGTTCCAGTGATGGAGGCGTGGTGTTCCAGTGATGGAGGCGTGGTGTTCCAGTGATGTAGGCGTGGTGTTCCAGTGATGGAGGCGTGGTGTTCCAGTGATGTAGGCGTGGTGTTCCAGTGATGGAGGCGTGGTGTTCCAGTGATGGAAGCGTGGTGTTCCAGTGATGGAGGCGTGGTGTTCCAGTGATGGAAGCGTGGTGTTCCAGTGATGGAGCATGGTGTTCCAGTGATGTAGGCGTGGTGTTCCAGTGATGGAGGCGTGGTGTTCCAGTGATGGAGGCGTGGTGTTCCAGTGATGTAGGCGTGGTGTTCCAGTGATGTAGGCGTGGTGTTCCAGTGATGGAGGCGTGGTGTTCCAGTGATGTAGGCGTGGTGTTCCAGTGATGTAGGCGTGGTGTTCCAGTGATGGAGGCGTGGTGTTCCAGTGATGGAGGCGTGGTGTTCCAGTGATGGAGGCGTGGTGTTCCAGTGATGTAGGCGTGGTGTTCCAGTGATGTAGGCGTGGTGTTCCAGTGATGTAGGCGTGGTGTTCCAGTGATGTAGGCGTGGTGTTCCAGTGATGGAGGCGTGGTGTTCCAGTGATGTAGGTGTGGTGTTCCAGTGATGTAGGCGTGGTGTTCCAGTGATGGAGGCGTGGTGTTCCAGTGATGGAGGCGTGGTGTTCCAGTGATGGAGGCGTGGTGTTCCAGTGATGTAGGCGTGGTGTTCCAGTGATGTAGGCGTGGTGTTCCAGTGATGTAGGCGTGGTGTTCCAGTGATGTAGGCGTGGTGTTCCAGTGATGGAAGCGTGGGGGTTTTCTATGTTTCATTTTTTAAAATGTGGTGTTCCTTGTTCCATTGACGTATTCTATCCGCATTCATAATTGTTTAGTTTTATTTGCTCACACAACGGAACTTCTTACACTGACGCCTAACATTCTCTGGAAGGATAACGTAATGTGTGTCCCTCCAGTTCCCGTCTAGGACAAATGTGTGTACCTCCAGTTCCCGTCTAGGACAAATGTGTGTACCTCCAGTTCCCGTCTAGGATAAATGTATGTACCTCCAGTTCCCGTCCAGGATAAAGTTCACAGTCGTCTAATTCTCCGGTAAAATGCAATTTACTATAATCTAAGAACTTAATATTCTAATTTAACTTAAATATAACATTTTAAACAATTGTCATCATACACGTCATCATACTCTCAGCAACGGTCATTATATCATTATAATAGAAAGATAAAGATCAGACTTACTCAGTACAATGAGGAGACGTCTGGCAGCCCTGGCGGCCATCTTGCCCGATCACTGCCACCTGCAGGACAAGGATATTACTTTATTATTAACCCCATACCCATGCTGTGGGAGTGTACCCCATACCCATGCTGTGGGAGTGTACCCCATACCCATGCTGTGGGAGTGTACCCCATACCCATGCTGTGGGAGTGTACCCCATACCCATGCTGTGGGAGTGTACCCCATACCCATGCTGTGGGAGTGTACCCCATACCCATGCTGTGGGAGTGTACCCCATACCCATGCTGTGGGAGGTGTGCCCCATACCCATGCTGTGGGAGGTGTTCCCCATACCCATGCTGTGGGAGGTGTGCCCCATACCCATGTTGTGGGAGTGTTCCCCATACCCATGCTTTGTGAGTGTACCCCCATCCCCATGCTGTGGAGTGTACCCCATACTCATGTTGTGAGAGGTATATCCCATATTCAAGCAGTGGACGGTGATTGAACATTTACATCATACCCATACTGTTAGTGCTGGTAGGAGATATACCTCATACCAATGTTGTTAATGGTATTGGAAGGTGTATCCCATACCCATGTTGTTAATGGTATTGGAAGATGTACCCCATACCCCATGTTGTGAGTGGTGATGGAATATGTACCCCCATTTGTGGGAAACATCCACGGTATTATATTAATAAGTATCCAAATGGAGTTTCGCAGTCGTACCTGTGGGGTCTTCCTTCGTTCATGTGTTGGACTAGAGAGGGAATTGACAGAATATTGAGCAACAAGTGCTCCTGGGACAGGTGTTTTGCAGGTGAAGTCTAGGCAGCAACGTATGCGACGGCTGATAGCTTCACAGTGATGACGTAGTGGCTGGGCCAATCCTCTGTGAGGGAATCAGTCTGTCACGACACGTCAAGGTAGACGGATGTGTGAAGGTTGATCCTGTCAATCTGACAGTATACGCCACTCCCGTGGATTTTACGCGTCACCCGTAGTCTTCAAGTACGCCGAGAGGTCTTCATTCATTCCATGTGTGGACCGAAGAGGGAATTGACGGAATATTGAGTATCAAGTGCTCCAGGGTCGGGTGCTGTGCAGGTGAAGTCTAGGCAGTATCGTCTGAGACGTCTGATAGCTTCACAGTGACGACGTAGTGGCTGGGCCAATCCACTGGAAAGCAGTGAAAGAAGATACTAATTGGGAATCCGTACGACTGCAGCCGAGACGTAGGTTGGCAGCCGTAGTTGGGAGGAGAAGTTGACGGCCGGGAGACCGACTCCAACCCTACAAGACGTGGAGGAGGAGGAGCACGGACCCGGGGAGGACAGAACACGGAGACGACGCGTTTATTTTGGGACGTTGATTGGGTTCCTGGAGGACACGACAGGGTGTGTGTGGGGGCGTTCCCTACACGAGGCGGGAGCCTGGACCAGGAGCTACAACTCAACTCTCACCGGAGGATAGGTGGAAGTAGGTGATTCTAGTTTCCCTCCCAATTCCCCTTTAGTCAGCTATATTATTTAGCTAGAGTATTTTGTATGTCGTGAGCAAGGCTCACCAATGTCACGGTAGGACACAGTTGTGAGAAGTGGGGCTGGAGAAAGTTCTCACAGGATATTTGCGGTGTGTGGATACACCTGTGTTATTATTGAAGAGTTTGCTGTGTTAGTTGATGAATTCTTTCATGTGACATTTATGGTATAAGTTATGCCAGAGAATATATATATATATATATACAGTGAACCAGTTATTGGTGTTAGGCTATGTGCCCAGTATTGATATTATTACTATTATTGATATCTATGATTTATCTATATATATACATGCTTGTGTGTTGAATAATTTCTCATGTGTGCAGTGATCAATTGAATATTCGCCTACGAAATATGAAGTACAGTGTGTTATGCCATGATAGTGAATTATTATGTTCATTAATATAGAAATATGTGATTGAGCTCAAGATCAGTGCAGTGAATCATCTGCGTTCTATTGCCATTATAGCAGTAATCGTGTTGTGTGTTAATACAGTGATAGTTGAGAATTTAAAGAAGCAGGCGTCTCACGCCAGACAAACAGATAAACGAACATTCGCGCAGTGAGAATCGCTCAGCTGATTTTGACATTTGACGCGAGGGGGAAAGTGTGTTGCCATATAGTGTGCCCAAATTATATGAGGAGAGAGAGAGCGACTCCTGCTTGTACTTGTTCGCCTGTGGATATATGAATATGATCTCTTGAGTTTTAAGTAAAATACAAAATTCCTTCTCGTTTGTATTACCCCTCCATAATTCTTGCTGCTACTTAACTATTACAAAGGTGAGAGTGATAGATACATACCTGCCTGATATCAGATCTATTGAGTGTGTTCTTGCCGCTGTTATCACAATTCTACGAAACCACTGACGTGTTACTGGACACAGGAAACACCAGTTGGCGACCTTGTGGTTAATAGTAGAGCCCTTGCCGGGGCGGGCACACAGTTGAAAGAGCAAACTGTGTCCCCACTCATCTCTAACTACTAAGGCCGGTTGGGGATCGACTGGGGTACTCTCCTGGCGTACAGTGGCGCCGCGAGGATGGAGTGAAGACCCGCAGGGCTACGGTGAGTAATGGTTATCGCTAATAGTGCGACCGTTGAGAGGACATCTCGTACACTGTTGCTCACCCTCTTATGGTGAACCCCGACATTGGCGACCTTGCCAGGATAACGATCAAGATAAAGGTTGCAGTTGTGGTACTTTGCAGTGGTATTAGGTATCAGGTGCAGGTTAACACTCATGGCACAAGATGGAGGATGATAAAGTAACAAGGTTCATTGACACTAGAGATGAGCAGGTGCTGGAGGAGTGCACCAAGGCACAGCTACAATCGATAGCAGACCACTTTGGGATAAAACTGAGATCTTCCAAAGTGAGAGAGAGAAGACTGGAGATCATGGCACAGCTCAGGGCACGAGACGAAGCTTTGGGGGGGGGGGGGAGGGGAACGGCCACAAACTCCTGCCAGTATGGGAGAACATCTGAGCATTGGTGGGAGCAGCAGAGGATCCAGCGGCAGCAGGCGCAGCGTTAAGCTGGAGATAATGAAGCTGCAGCTGGAAGCACAACTGAAGCGGGAAGAACAGGAACGAGAGGCACAGCTGAGAAGGGAAGAGCGAGAAGCAGAGGCACAGCTGCGCAAAGAAGAGCGAGAGGCACAGCAGTGCAAAGAAGAGCGAGAAGCAGAGGCACAGCTGCGCAGAGAAGAGCGAGAGGCACAGCTGTGCAAGGAAGAACAAGAGCGAGAAGCACAGCTAAGGCGAGAGGAGCGCGAGCTAGAAGCTAGGCTGAAACAGCAGGAGATAGAAGCTAACAAGGATGTGGAGCTGAAGCGAGCTGAGCTAGGGCTAGCTCCACCTGTTCCACCACAGCAGGAAGACCGCCGCGTGAAGGAGCAAGATCTGCCGGTCTTTGTACCAAACGAAGCTGAAGGTTTCTTCGACCACTTCGAGAAGGTCGCTACCTTGAAGAAGTGGCTGAGGGCGGAGTGGGCGGAGCTCGTTCAGAGTAGGCTCACCGGTGAAGCTCGTGAAGCCTACAACATGCTCGACCTCAGAGAGTGCACCGACTACGATGCTGTAAAGAGAGCTGTGCTCCATTCTTTCAAGCTCACGCCGGAATGTTACAGGAAGAGATTCAGGGAATGTACCCGTTCGCCAGGAAAATCTTATGCGGAGACGGCGAGGGACATGGAGAGAAAGGTCCTGAAGTTAATGGTCATGGAGAAGTTTATGTAAGCTCTCTCCTGAGATCAGGGTTAGAGTAAAGGAGGCGGATATTAAGGACCTGAGAGCCGCGGCCGACAGAGCTGACATGCTGGAAGAAGCCCTGCGACCACACCGAGAGGGACGGCACCGACCGCCCGTACACTCCATATATGGTAGAAGATATAGAAGGACGGATGGGTGGAGGACAGGAGCGAGTTCTCCCGAGTCCCACCTCTCGAGTGGAGACAGTGGAGGATCAAAGGGTGCTGTGGAGCCGGTAAAGAAGTCCCAAGCTGAGAGCTCAAGAGTTGTTGCCGAGACGGAGGAGTCGACGAATGGCACGAGGAAGATCCACAGAAGAAGAAGGATCCGCTGCTACAACTGCGGAGTATTCGGACACGTCGCGCGGGAATGCAGACACCCTGAGCAGCGGGGGAACGTGGCTTTCATGAGGGTAGAGGACCAGATGGCCGAGAGGGTGTGGGATGAACCCGTACTGAGTGGGGAGATAAGAGTTCACCCATTCGTGTGTGAGGGAACCGTAAGGATGGGGGACACAGACCCCATTCCGGTGAGAATATTAAGAGACACTGGGGCCGATTTTACCCTGGTGAGCAAAACCCTGTTCCCCGAGGGTTACGAGAGTACCAGTGTGGGGGTGGCAAGTGTGACCACTTTATCAAATCACCTCATTCTTTGGGGCAAACGTGAGAAACACAAATGCGAACAAGCCTGAATGGTCCCCAGGACTATATGCGACTGAAAACTCACACCCCAGAAGTGACTCGAACCCATACTCCCAGGAGCAACGCAACTGGTAACTACAGGACGCCTTAATCCTCTTGACCATCACGGCCGGACAAAAGGAAGTGATAGCCAAAGCTATTTGAACCACTTCCCCGCCGGCACTCAGATGGTAATCTTGGGCATAGCATTTTTTCAAATCCCCTCATTCTTTTGGGCACACGTAAGAAACACAAATGCGAACAAGCCTGAATGGTCCCCAGGACTATATGCGACTGAAAACTCACACCCCAGAAGTGACTCGAACCTCGAACCACTTCCGAGTGCCGGCGGGGAAGTGGTTCAAATTGCTTCGGCTATCACTTTCTTTTGTCCGGTCGTGATGGTCAAGCGGATTAAGGCTGAGAAGTGCGTTCTGGCTACTAGGTACGACATACATATATATATATGTTGTACCTAGTAGCCAGAACGTCGTACTCGGCCTGCTATGCAAGGTCCGATTTGCCTAATAAGCCAAGATTTCCTGAATTAATATATTTTCTCTAATTTTTTTCTTATGAAATGATAAAACTACCCAT